ACCCGCCTGTGCAAGAATCCCCCAGAGGACCTGCAGCCTCTGCAGGGAGGTGCGGCCCCAGCATGTGCCTAACTGTGTTGGGATTATACCTGAAGGGATAAAAATAAGGCGCCTTGAAAACGCTGGAGCTCTTCCAGCAATGTGGGGTTTCTGGGTCTCCTTGCCTCACCCTCTGCCACCTTCACTGCAGGCTCCCCAGGGACAGCGGGACCAAGGTGGAGTCCTCGCTTGTGGGTTGCTGGGCTTCCATGGTCGCCCAGGAGATCTTTCCAGGGTCCTAAGCCTGGGAGTCAGCCAAACAGACAAACATCAGGCTCCGGCTGGGATAGGACTTCAGGATGCTACGAATGCTCTCGAGAAAGCACAAAACAAAATAGAGAGAGCAACAGAGTGTCAGTGATGCAGGAGGGCGGGACAGTTAGCTGTTCAAATGCATCACCTGGACCACAGGTCCCTTCTCCCCTCGGCCCAGGGCTGATGCAAGAGTCAGTCCTGTTAAGCGGCCTCTTTAGTGATGGCAAATTGAAAATACTGGCAACTTCCTCAAGTCTCCTGATTGCTAAGAGAAAAGTGCACACGGACAACCAATTCCTCAGTGAGAGAAACCACGCTCAGGTCTGTCCTCACTGACAGAGCTTAACTCCAGCCTCACAGTGAAACGGGAGGGGAGCAGAGGGAGGGCAAGGCGCCTGGGGACCACAGTGACCTCCCGACACAGCAGCCCCATGACCTCCGATCTCCCCGCTTCCCAAGGAGAAGGGTAAGGACTATCGCACTCTCAACAAATAATGTATTGCATATTTCAAAATATCACAGTAGGTTTTTAATCTTCCCACCACAAAACAATGGTAAATTGGTGAGGTGGTGGATATTAATTAGCTTGAGTGAATCTTTCTATAATACAGAGATCAAAACATCACAGTGTCCATAAATAGACATGATTATTATGTTAAAATAAATTTTAAAGTGTTTCAAATTTAAAAAGGAGGCAGGCATAGGCATTCTCAGACGTGCCAAGGACACCGCAGGAGAAACATACACAAAAAGTTCCAGCACTAAAAAATTCTCCTTCAAGGAGGGGCCAGGCACCAACTGGGTGATAGGAAGCGGGCAATGCAAAAGAAACAAGGAACTGACAGTGATTCAGGCCCAGGTCTCCCTCCTGGTGCCTCAGACCAAGACAAAGCAGCACTGGTGTGTGGTTAGGTGGAGGAAATCTCGGCTCTCTGCTTCTTTCAGTGTGCAGCGCTCTGACCAGCTGACCTCTCTAAGAGCTGGAGATTCCTCTATAAATCTGGCTGGGGCTAGGCTAGTCTGGTTACTTTCTGTGTTCTGGCTCCCTGAAACCTTTAAGCAGAGCGAATCATGTTGCAATCTATCCTAGGGTGAAAAAAATGGAACACAGGAAATACTGCTGTAATCCCTTATCTCATGATCCCCGGCGTTAGGCAAGCTGGAAGTCGTCCTTGTATTAGTCCTGTGCACCAAACAAGAGAATGTTTGGAACTCCCCAGACAGCTGTTTCTAAGCAGTGATCATATGAAATGCCAGTCACGTCCTGTCTGGTCATTCTGTTAGTGATCTGAAATCTAGAGAAATGAGACTCTCAACCCCAGCTTGCGCACAGAGGTAGGACCTCATGTGACATTCAGCATGCTGACCAGCAGGTGCCAGACCTTATAGGTGTCCCAGAAACCTGGCCTCCCGCAAGACACCAAAGGCAACGTCTCATGCCAGCAACAGTGCTGCAAGATGCGTCCACTCGTGATGGAGGAGGAGGTGGGTTTCTGGTCGGCACTGTAGGATCAGGACTCAACGGGCCTTTGGAGGTGTGGGGATGAACAGAGGGGGAGCTGGAGGACAAACTCAAACGAGTGTGAGTACCAGGGGTGTATCTCCTTGGGGAGACCCTGCTCTTGGAGATGTAACCCTGAGTGTGGAGTGGTGGCCCCTCTTGTCTGACAAGCACATGAACACTGAAAATCACAACCCACGTGCCTCACTCCCTTCGCTTGGTCCTGCCTGAATCAACAGCGGTCATTTGGTCCAGGCTCCAGTGGAATTCTGTCAGGACCCTTCCTTTCATGGCAGGGCCTCCGCCCTTTAGCGTTCTGTTACTCTACAAACTGGCTCTGACCCTACACCTCAGTCCCCTAATCACTACCTCAGGGGTGGCTGGTATGCTAGTGTCCCTGGAACCCTGGGCACTGAGGGCTGGATCAAGCAAGGGAGGAGACACACACCACAGTATCTTAACCATGTCCAGTTGTCTCCCATGCTTCTAAAAACTGATTATAGGCTGCTTTCTAGAGTTTCTTTTGTTAAGATTGGCTTGTCTGTTGACTTTATGTGTCCTTTGTAAAGGTTTGTTGCAAACCCAAAGGATATTTTGTAAAAAGAAGCTAAAGCTTTCATGAATTTGTCTCACTGTTGCAATGTAAGATATTTTACAAGTAAAATCCAGTGTGGCTTGTGCCTACATTTTGTCAGTTCTGAGCATAATTCAACATTTTTGTGGTTTGCCCTTAACTGGGAGCACAGCTTGGATTTTATGTGATGGTTCTGTGCCAGCCCGCTTCCTCCTCTCCTCCTGCTGGTTCCTCCCACTGTTCAGGCATGTGAAACTGAGCAGTGCAACTTCGGAGGGCGAGTTGTTACTACCCAGCAACTCTAATGGCAGCTTGTCACTATTTCTTGTAAAAGGCCACGCGAATGTTTGTGTACTCCTTAATTAGCTGGCTCAGGCCAGTCACCAACCTGGCCTCAGCCTCACCCCTACATACCCCCCACATGGCTCAGAGGACAGAGGACAGACGACCTGAAATGCAGGTGTCACAACAGCCTAGAGGGAGCTCCACACTCCGCCTGACCCCCTTACAGGATGAGCTGTTCCCTTCTGAACACCTCAGAGCTTACAGAGAACCCCTCTGCCTCACTTCGTGTAACCCCACATCAGCTGAGCGCCACTGATCTCCCTGGACCACACCCTGCAAGTTGCTAAGGAAGTGCTAGTCCCAGACAGCAGGGATTGTGTGGGGCGTTCCCACCCTGGCAAGCCAGCCTGGCATTTCCCACTGCGCTCATGCACTGTGTGCTGTTCTCTCTGCCCTTACAATGCCCTGCAGTACCAGTGTGCAAACTGCAAGGGTCCACGTTCACCTTTTGCTTTTTCTTTCAACACCACTGACTGAAATCCCACTATGGATATAGTACTAGGCTAACAATTCCAGACAGCACCAACCAAAGGAAGGAGTTCCTGCCATCGGTGGGAAACACTCAGCCTTCTGTGAGGTAAGCAGAAATGAAATAAATGTTTAACAAAAATATAGTATGCAGTTGCCATGAGGCTCCACGGTGGAGCCTTTGCCTGGTGGGGTAAGGCCTCAGGGTTTGACCCATCCCCAGTCAGCACCACTAAACAGAAGGGCTGTGCAATGTTGTAGGAACTGACTGGAGCCCCACAGAACAAGCATACAGTTCAGTAGAAACTTACCTGCCCCTCATCATTCTCTGCTGCACGACATCCTAAATTAGGACCCAAACCAGGGTCTCTAATAATCCTTTCCCTGAAACTCTACAAAGAATAGGATAAACTACAGGTGGGTGATACAAAAGTTCTAAAGTAAACCAAATCATTTCATTGTCAGAGTATAAAAAAGATGCGATGGGGGCTGGGGATTTAGCTCAGAGGCATAGCGGCTCAGTGGATTTAGCTTGCCTGCCTTGCAAGCAAGCGGTTGTGAATTTGATCCCCAGTACCAATTTAAAAAAAAAGGAAAAAGATGCAATGGAAATACTCATGATGTTTCTGGGAAACAAAGGGACAAGATGCCTTCTGCATCTCCTCTAGCTGCAAACAGTCCAGGGCCCTCTTTGCCACTTTGATTGGTCCATCTTGGTTACGGCTATAATGAAATAAAGCTGGGTGACCACGCAGGGGTTCATTACTTTTGGAGGGGGAGTCTCATCCTTTAGGACTCAACATTCCTCCAGCAGTAGTGTGGCTGAGAAGAAAACAGTAGTGACAGGATGACAACCCTGGGTTAGTTGGAGTACAGTCCTTTGACTTAAAAAAAAAAAAAAAATTAAAAAGCCCAGATCTTCTAGTGACTGTAGAACACATTCTCCTAATACATTTAACTTAAATCAGGGCTGGGTACCAGTTTCAGTCTCTCAGCTCTGTCACGAGCAAGCTTCTCAACCTCGAAGAGCCTCAGTTTGCTCACTTGTACACGACTAAGAGATCTTAACCTGTTTGTTCAGTTAGGAGGTTGAAGTAAGATAACGCATGTGTAACACAGGCAGGACCCCCATCTTCAGGTTAGGGCAACAGTAATGGAAGAAAAGAAGTCAGCCTGGCTTCCGTTGAACTGGGATTCTGGACCAGCAGCTTTCCAAGGCCTTTTAGAAATACAGACCCTGGCCCCTGGGGTGGGACCTAGGAATCAGCTTTCTGTTGAACGGCAGCCCTGGGCCACTCACATGTATAAGAGAGAAAGTAAGGTTCCAGGGAAAACCCAACTAGCGTACCCTGGGGGTTCCATGTGAGGCCCTTAGGGTCCACATCTTTCTGTGCTGCTTACGTGGGGATCTTGCATCTGTGAGGAGTCTTTCTACAGCAGGGCCTGGATGCTGTGATGGCCTCCTGGCACCCCACCTGGCATGTAATGGGTGCCGAGGCAGAAGCTGAGCGCTGAGTCCACACGTGGGGGAAGGCAGTCTTACAAGACCACACTTCTAGTGTTGACATGCAAAGATCAGAAGCCCACAAATAACCAGCAGGGCAGAGAGATTACACAGAGTGCTGTGTGTATTTGTGTTCTATGATGCACGGGTCTGACGTTGCCGAGGGTAAGCCAGCAGTGACTGTGCTTGCCTGTGAGAAGCAGAACCAGGTGGCTAGCAGCAGGGTATCGAAGAAACCTTTGACATGGGTTGACTTGTTTGATTACTGAGCCATGTGAATATATGGCATACTTAACTTAAAACACTCCAGCGAATTTGGTAAATTCTTTATTCTGGCAAATACTGGCTGCCATTATTACCACCACAGCACAGTGAATCCTTACCAGACACTGCACACCAGGGGAGCCCGAGAGGTTTAGCTAGGAGCAGAGGAGGGAGGTGCTTAGGTTAGGACATTATACCTCGGGTCCTCGTCAGCAGGTGGACTAACTACAGGAAATGGGGAACCTGCCCAACCTAACTCCAACACCAGCCCCTCGGGATGTCTTTCAGAGCGCATTGTAACAATGATGTATTGGATAAAAACAGGGCGCTATTTTTAAAAAGGATCTGGTGAAAGGAAAGACTCCATTTAGGACCCAACTGGACACACAGCAGGACCACAGCGTCGGGATCAATGAAGACAGCACTGTGGACACAGCCGCCTTGGGGACCGCTGCCTCTCACAGACGGCCACCCTGTTTATGACATAAAGATGTTGTAGACCGTTCTCACGTAGACGTCATCAGGGGGAGGCTTCTTTTTGCTCCCAGGTTCAAGAAATCTCTTGATTGTAGGGATGTTACTTAACTTCACGGTGTATTCCTTAAAAGGGAAAGCAAAAGTGGAAGCAAGAGGATCAACAGCTATGAAAACACGGGCGGGCATGTTCAGTACACATGCACGGAAGGATCTCACCAGCACCCCATCCTCTGCTCAAGGGCTCGTCTTGTGGTGTGGCTGTTTATAATTTCAGCCATCAATAGTGAAATCGGGACCAGTGTTGTTTACACCAGTCTCATGGTTCTTACAGGGACAGGGACTCATTTCAGAGAGCAAAATAAAAACGTAGAGCAGGACCTCGAGACTTGCTGAGAGGAACAGGCACAGCGGAGGTGCCTTGGACGTGCCTGCACTCAGACACTGTGCCCTGTGTCACGGGAGTCACCAGCGGGTGTGATTTACACTCCAAACTCCATCTTCCTGGGACTTTGGACTTCGACTAGCAAATGCGTGCTCTTTCCACACATGTATGGGAGATGGCCCACTGCGCTCTTCACAGCTCATGGCTCAGACACCAAATATTAAACACAACAGCAGTACTGGGGAGCTGTCTGGGGATCAAGCCCAGGGCCCCTGCACGAGGCTCCACCCCCAGCCCTTTTAGTTTAGGATTTTTTTTTTCTTTTTAACTTTGAGACAGGGACCTTGTTAAATTGCCCAAGCTGGGCTTGAACTCGGGATCCTCCTACCTCAGTTTCCATAGGGCTAGGCTTGTGGGCATGCATTTACAAAGTCCAACCCACTGAATCAAATGTTACCAATCTCAATCTGAGAAAAAAGTCCATCAGATCCACTGAAAAGTTTGACTCATATACATGAAACATTAAAATGTTTTTAAATGAAGAAGCTATTTTTAAAAAGCTATTCTTTATTAAATGCCTGTTATGTGCAAGGCACAGCTTAGTTAAGCAAACAAGCATGTATGTGTCACTAATATTAACGAAATACTAATGCTATTAATTGATTATATATAAATATAATAATCTTTTTTCACTACTATTTAGATCTATATGTGTTATCTAATTCTGAGTATTATGCCAAACTTTGGAAGCTTATTCCAAAGAATTTATTATTTCAAGATTTAGAGTGTCTATATTTAGGTATAATAAAATTTTTGTACATTTTGTGTACTCTTTAATCAATATGGGGATAACACTGTAATTCACAGATCTGATATCAGATTCTAAAGTCCTTTCATGTTGATGCCTGGTCTGTTCAAAGATTGAAATATGTATGCTGGAGTTTAAAAACACATTTTTAGCACCTTTGACAGAAAATATCAATAGGTCTAGTGCTAAGTTTACCAATGTCTTCATTTACCCTAGACGTGATGGTGAACCTTTGGACAGCTCTCAGTGTGACAGTCCACTGCGGCACGTGTGTCACAGGCTTGCCACCACTGCCCTAGACGTTTTATATCTTTCCCATGTACATGATAAAAAGAGACTTCACTGCCAATGAGGGATTACATTTGTATATAAAAGCAGCAAGCCTAAGACTTCAGATTGGACCAACTTAGGAACTAACTTTAAAGTTCCTGCATTCTGCCTGCTTTGATTCAAAACCCTACTAGTTTATGTAAGGCCAAAGCTAATGCACGTCTAAGTAATGCATTTTCAGGCAGCCCTGCAGAGTAGTCGGGGGGCACATACTCATCCCAGATTCCTCGGTTATCCACAGTTGGCGGCCTGATCAGACTGCGCATGCCCCAAGCCTGGGGTTGTCACCATGCAATGAGGACAGTGAAGTCCTCCTCCCAACCTACGGTGTGGGCTTTGGGCGAACACAGGGCAGAGCCTGGCAGGCATCTGGAGCGACGCAGGCACTCACACCAGACCCCTTCCTCTCGCTTCCCTCTGGGCCAACCAAACACTGCAAAAGCGAACTTCAGGCCTTGGGTACTCTACCTCATTAAATAAAGTCAAACTAAGAAAGGTCATCTCTGTGTTGCGAGAAGAAGTGGACATACTTCACATCAAAAATAGTATGATTTATCCTGTTGAAGACTTCTGTTTGCATTTTCCAGATGAATTCATTTACCTGACAGTGGCTATCCTTACTGTTATATCCAAATGGTATTTATCAGGCTTGGAAAAAGATACTTTAACTTTTTTTTTTGTTTTGGCACCTGGAATTGAACTCAGGACCTTGCACTTGCCAGGCAGGCACTGTGTCACACAGCTACATCCCTGGCTCTGAAAAATACACTTTAAAAAGGTCTGTGTGTTTATTGTTGTGGTGTTAATGTGTCTCTCTTGACTTTTGATATTTTGGGCAAACTTACATCAGTTTAATCTATATTGGGGATCAGCTACCTTTTTCTATCAAGGTGCGGTCGTATCTTCTTTAAACTTTGGAGCTTCATGGTCTCCAAGCTGCTCACCTCTGCTGAGACAATGCAAAAACAGGCACCTACAATATACAGATGAGTGGATGCAGTTTTGTCCTTATCAGACTTATCTGTGGACACCGAAAGCTGAGTTTCCTATAATTTTATGTGTCATGAAGAATTATTATTTGATATTTTCCCAAGTAGTCAGAAGCATAAAACCACTCTTTTTTTCCTCCATAAAACCATTCTTAGCTCATGAGCTGTATAAAAACGGGCACCAGGCTAGTTTGGCTGTGGCCCACAGTGTGCAGACCGGGGGTGGGAGGCCTGCTGGCCCTGCAGAGGGAAGGCTCAGGCTACAGGTGACACTTAAGGACCCAGGAGTTGCCATCTTGGCTTCTGGGCTCTTTACTCTGGTCTCACTGCCCTGCATGGACGAGATGAGCTACCAGGTAAGACTGTCCTCTCCAAAACCCCTTTCCGCCCTATACTTGATCCTGTCTGGATAACACCAGGGAAGAGCTGAGCCGCATGGAAGGGATCTGAGAAGAAAGTATCGGCAATCTTTTCAAGCAATGCTCAGGGAGCCTCACTTTTGCTCTCAGAACGTAAGCCTGAAGTTTCCAGTGGGAAAGGGAGTTGTGCATCCTGATGACGACTGTCCTGGAGGCTGAGGCCACCTCCCTTCATCAGGGCTGCCCGCTCTGGCCCCTCACCCCTGTGGTCCTCACCACGCCACGCACCCCTGGCAGGATCTGTGTGTGGGGTTTGCACCAGATCAAGGGTCTTCTAACCGGTCAGCATTTGTGTGCTAGATGACAACTTCAAGTCTACACCTTCATTTCCTCTCACTAGTTAAGTCCTAGTTAGAATCTAACACACACACACACACACACACACTCTCTCTCTCTCTCTCTCTCTCTCTCTCTCTCTCTCTCTCTCACTCACTCACTAAGGAAACAACCAGCAGACTATCAAGGAAGGCCCAGGAGCTCCAGGCCAATTTTCCAAGACACTGCTTATTTACCTGGAGGAAAGGAAATGTAGACAGGATGTTAGGAATTTTCTCCTCCAGAGCCAAGATGGTTTGGAGTAGAATCACATCAGCGAGGCTCAGCTGATTCCCAACGAGAAAGTTTTGTCCATGACCCCGTAAAACCTGCAAGAGAAAAATGGTCTGCACCCGATGCAGAAGTGGATGGAATCATTGTGTCTAAGAAAGGACCACAGCTATGGCCTTGTCCTGTTACGCTTTTATTAACATACCAGTTAGAGGGCAGCCCCTGTATGTATCTAAGGATGGGGAGAAAGAGAGGGGCACGGAAAGGTATAAATGACAGCCCCTTTCAATATATGCTGCAGACTGGGCATAGCGGGGTGCATCCCTAATCCCAAGACTCTGAGAGGCAGGAGGATCCCATATCTGACCTGAGGCTTTGCAACCTAGAGAGACTCTTTCTCAAAATAAAAGGTAAAAAAGGTGGAAATGCAGTTCAGTGGGCCTGGGGTTTAACTCCCAGAAGCCACCCCCCACCAAATGTGCTACTGGTTATCAGAATGAGATAGTGAAAGTGGAAAATTTGCTATTTCTGGGCTTGTAACTCAGAGAAGCAGACATCTATTCCAGAAATGTAACAGAGGAATGAGCTGGTGTTGGTGAGGTCCAGAGACCCAGGGAGGGGCCCTAAGGCTTATTTCTATGGTTATAATAAACCAAAGTTGGCTAGAAAAGCAGACTTCTTTGCCCATGATCTTCCCCAGACAGGAAATTAGGACTCCAAGTTCACGCTGATTCCTAATTTGCGGGTAACAATGGGTGAAGGGATTTGGAGGAACACACTTTGATGAGGGAGGGGCAGAGGACAGTGGACACGAAGGGGAGAGCCCTCTGGCAGGCACATGTCGGATGCCCACAGTGATGTGTGCGCACATACGTGCGCAAGTCGGACAGAGACTGAACCCGGCTCCTGCTCTAACGCAGCTTCTGCAGCCAGAGCAACACGGGACAGTGAGCTGGAGGTCCGAGCTCCCTTTCCTAGCCTTGCGACCATCTCCGACTGGCCACGGAGCTGTCACTCCCTTTGGTTATGTGCACCAACCTCACAGATGGTGGCCTCGTGAGGACCTCATCAGGTCCCTTTCCCACTTCTCTTCGCTTCTGGGAAAGACGCCGTGGAACCAGGCCACAGAAAACCCAAACCCACTCTGCTCCTTTTCCTTAATTCTCTTGCCCTGAAGAAGGGGTTGCCACATAGATCTGCTGTACTGTGACAACATTCTATTGTGTTTTTAACTGAAACATTAAAAAACATCCATCGTGAAAGAAAAAAGGATCGCAAAGATCAGAAGAGCAGAAATAGTAAGAAGAGGAAAAGAAAACAGAGCAAAGGGAGAGAAATAAACTAGAAACGCTAGCTTTGGTTTCTCTGTGTCTTACACAAGGCGATGCTTGAGGAGTTAACATGTACCCGTGGCAAAGCCACTGTGGTGGCCCCTGTGGATAGTGATGCCATGCCCTTGGCCTTCTTTGCCACCCACCTTTTCAAACACTGGGAAGTATCTAATGATAGCCTTCTGGGCCATGTGAACCACCTCCTTTGGTTGATCTTCCGGTTTTAAGAAAGGATGCATGATAAGCATTTCCAGCAGGTCCAGCGTACCCTCCACGTACATATCGATCCTTTGAAGAGAAAAGCGGGGTTCTCAGTGCTTCCTCCCTGAACCCAGCAGCCTGCACAACGCAGAGGCCTGAATGCATGAGGCTCTGGCAACCCCAGACTACCCTCATCTCCCAAGAGCAAAGATGCAAAGCCACTCTAGTTAGAGCTCAAAAAACCCACCAGAAAAATCAGTTGCAACCAGAAAGCCTGGCAGTGCAGACTGCCCTCTCTTCCCCCCAGCCTTTCTCTCCCTGGCACCCACACCCTGGCCTCCTGGAGAAGAGGCACCGCTCAAGGGACCGGTGGCACACATTCTGTTGTCTCACCGGCTCCACTGTTGCCTGCTATCATGCATGAAGCCCGAAACTCTGTCAGGGTCCTGCAGCTGGGTGGTGCAGGATAAGGCTCTGGGTTCAACTCATAATCCAGAGTACTGTTCCTGGCCCCAAGTACCACAGCAGCTTCCCAAAGCTAATATTCAATAGCAGTAAATTTGTAAGACAGGGAAAAGCAGTATCAAAGTATTCAATATTCTGAAATTTGAACAGACATCAGATAGGGAATTCAATTCTTTTCTGTCATGTATCTCCGATGGGATCACAAACCCAAAAGACACAATCCCAACATTAAAATTCTAAATGCTAAAATCCACAGAGTCCAATTCTATTTTGTGGGGTAGGCATCTCTTTTTTCAGTTTTTTCCACTCATTGATTTTCCAGAATTATATTTCTAGGGTTTTGTTATGTGGTGAGTTTAGACTGCAGGCACTTTGACCTCTCAGGAGTTCAGCATTCAGGATCACACCTGGGATTGTGACCACAGGAGTTATAATCCAAATGTTTCACCCAGATGCTCGGGGCTGTATTTCAGTGGGAGCCCACGCCTTTCCTGGGCTTTTGTTCCCTGCCCACATTAATGAGAAGACATAAAGGAGATGGGGCAAGCTGTACAGGGCTGCTAATCAGCTAAGGATAAAGCAGGAGCCAGGGAGCCACAGTACAGGGTTCTCTCCTTGAGGTCCTTGCCAAAGAGCTGGTGCTTTTCAGCTATGTAGTGGAGGATGCTTCGGGTCTGCACCAACTTCATCCCATCGATTTCTACCATGGGCACTTGTTGGAACAGCAGGTGTTCACCTAGGATGAAAGCCCAGAGTCACATGTGATCTCTTCTTCCCTGTTCCCCAAATCTTAAAAAAGCAGTGTGGCCCAAGGAGAAGGCAGCGGGAGCTGGCTTCAGGGAGCAGTGTAAAGCTGCTCATAACAGACAACCTGAGCTTCACTCAGGCAAACAAATTTAGCCGTAAACGAAGGCCACTTGTTATAAACACTTCCTTTTCCTTTTCACCCCAAGATAAACACAAACCACAGATTACACGACTTCAGAACCCTGCTGGCCAAGATGGTAACCATTAGCTACACAGGCTATGTATGCCTCAACTGAGGAATATTTAATGGACATATTTCAAGTGCTCAGCACTCATGCATGGCTAGTAGGTGCCGCGATGCACCGGGTGGAAAGGACCGTTTCTGTCGATCGATGCGGAGCTGCATCGTGCAGCACTGAGCTCAGAGAATCTGGTCTCATGAGCTCCACCTTCGATTCCAGCTGCAGACCCCTCCTTCCCTGATGTGCTGCCACTGCTGAGGCCTGGAACTTTTTCCAACAAACCTGCACCCAACACTTCCCACTACCACAAAAGTCAGCCCCTCAAGGAGCACTGGGGACAGGCAAAGGTAGAGGGCACACACTTAGTGACCTCAGGCCAGTGTTACATAGGAAAGGTGGCACCACAGGCCTGGAGGACGGGTGCTCCCCAGGAGATCCTGGGGCTGGGCTGGAAAGGAAACCGCTGGCAGCCCTGCACGGTGGTCCATCGGGGCTGCTGCTGGCTCCGTACCAGGCGTGGGTGCAGAGGAAGCGGAGCCCGTCGGGGCTCAATGGGGCCCACGGCCGATTTCCCTCATGTGGTCCTCCTGCAGTAGTGAGCTCAGATGAAAGGAGACAGGGAAGCCTGAGAGGAGGCGAGGGCAAGGAGAAGGAGAGGGGCAGGAGGCTGGAGAAAGGAAAGCAGGGGACAGGGACTGCACACATAGATGGTGCTTCCACGCAACTCCAGAAAACAAGCCACTGCTTGGTAATCTCAGCTAAGTAATTCTGCTGGCTTTTCTGACTTTAGGTCACTTCTTTTTTCCTGGTTTTAATTTTTTTAATTAGTACATATTTTCATTATATAATGCTTACATTTCTTATATGGAGTCGGCACCTGGACACAACAGATCTTAGGATTTTTTTGGCTTTCTTTTCTTCCGCTCCCTCCTACTTCCCTTCACCTCCATCTCCTTTAGGGTCTCGCTGTGCAGTTCAGGCTGGTCTTGAACTCACTACATAGGCCAGGTTGGCCTCAAACTTGCGATCCCCCGGCCTCAACCTCCCGAATGCTGGCGTGACAGGCATGAGTCACCACATCTGGCTTAGACACTGTTCTTAATGCTTTTAACATCTTTGCTCTTCCACATAAATATCAGTTCTTAACAACAACAACAAAAAAATCAACCCTATAGACAGTTTCATGTTCATACTCACCATCCTGCAGCTTCTGCAACTGTTCTTTCGTTTCCAGAAATTCCTCATCAAACTAAAAAAATAAAAGACCCCCCCAGAAGATAAGGGTCATTATAGGTACAGAACTGAAAATATCAAATTAAACTCCCTCCAAAAGCAGAGAAAGAGTACAGTTAGCATTTATATCTTGGCTTCTAAATATCACTGCCCCCTTCTCCTACAGGGTTGATTCTGTTATACCAGAAAGAAGTAAATACTAAACAAGAGCCAGGTAAATCAAGGCAAAGACAGGGAAGAGCCTACTGAGAAGAATTCCCTAATGAAATCTGGGACAAGATTTGGATTGCAATACACACCACAGAATCTTTATGTCCATAAGTGATAGTGTTTTTTTTTTTTAAAGAGGAGAGAAGCCGTTTCAGAAAAGAATTAGTATTAATTATAACATATGGGGGACAGGGGAGAGGGAACCAGCAGAGACTACAAGACTTATGCAAAGGCACCATAGTTCAGAATTTATTGTGCCTGGATACAGTAGGCAGAGCACGTGGTAAGACCACCTTCCCAGAACAAAGAGAAGCGTGTCCCTTTCATAGGGATGGAGAGAAGGCAGGGGAATTAGGTGGGAAGTCCCAAAGAACATCTGTGGTCAAAGTTCTCTGGTCGTCTTGCCCTTTAGTGGTCAGAGTCTTTGAGGCACGTGGTGTAAATTTTCAGGTCTCTTTAGCTGTCCCCAGGTGTCCTAGGACTTCCAAAGTTCCTTGTCCTGTTTTATTTCCTTTCCTGTGCTGGCCAGTGACATCCTTGAATGCTGAGCTGAGGTCCCTGCAGAGAGCGGTACTTCTGTGGATAAGAGGCTGGGCGCTGGGGAGTCAGGGCGGGTTGAAGCCTTAGACTGACTAATGAAGAATTAGTGTGAATAAATGATAGCATTAGAAAGTCACGACTGGAAGCCTCCAAGTGCACTACCTCTAATAAAGATCAAGGATGCTGAAGACTGTGAAATATGATTGGCCTCTTCAAGAACCAAGAGCACTGGGGAGAAGATACCGTTGCTCTCAAGAAAAAACAGCCAACAGAAGAACCAGATGTTTGGGGGAATGTTATAAGCACGGGGAGACCCCTAACAGCTTAGTGACAACGGGGAGACACTGCCTATGAGAGATGTTGTCAACTCAGTGTTAAACTCTAGTTAGTAGGACAATTATTTATTTCACCTTTATACCACTAAGAAAAAAAAGAGAGGGAGACCACGAATGTAACAAAATGTTAACAACTAGAGAACTGAGTTCAGAGAAATCCATTGTGCTAATCACAACTGGCCTGCAGGTGTGAAAGTTTCCAAGCTTGAAAATTAAAGGGGAAAAGAAACAATGAAAACTAGCTTCCCTGTGGTGACATTATTACATATACATGTTCTAGAACGTTTCCTACTACTGTGGGTATCCCAGGATGACTCCCCACCTGGGCCTGGGTCTGCGCTGCACCCTGGGGTCACTGGAGGGGGCAGCCTCCACAGGGTCCCCAGACCTCTAGACTGCCCTGGGAGCTGAGCTGATGGGGTGTGGGCTTGGCTTCTGTTACCAGGGTCCTCCTAGTGGGAGGAAGGGGCCTTGGTTCCCACTGAAGTGAGGCCCACCAAACAGTAGCCTTAGGGTGACGGAACCTTGGGCTTCTGTCCTAACACCCAAAGGTGTGGGTGCCTGCGGTACTCTCTCTGTGTTGTTTCTCAAACGCTATGACCATAATTCCTCAAAACACACGGGAAGTAGGGGATGTCGAGGTCAAAGCTCAGACCTATAACTCAATTCACATTCAGTACTTGGGGGGACCTAGAAACACATTTTTGAAAACAAGTCCTTCCACATCATCCTGACTCTTCACTTTGGAGAACACATGTGAAAATATGCACTATTTCTCACAGGGGTAGTTTTGTATCAAGCTTTATAAAACCACTGCCAGGTAAGAATTTTGCACTGAATTGGGGAACAAGAGGACGGGCGAGACAAAAGGGAAGCCGTATGAAACAGCAAGGCTGCCCGACACAGACCACAGGCCCAGGTGCAGACCTCCACGGAGGGTTCTAGAGATTCGCCCCTTCCCACACCCACAGGCCCTTTCTTCTCGTTTCTGACCACATCTTCTCTAAGGCTAAGTTGCAATCAGCTTCACACCGCATACTGAGACCGGAGACCGAGGACACTGGCTCCTGGCCTTAGCACAGCTAGCTGTCTGGCACCGTTTTAAGCTGCCTTGCCATTCAGTTGTGAAGGTTTGCACTCTCTCCTGGAACACTGGGCGTTACAAACGTCTTCCAGCTGTGGCAGGCCTAGGTGGACACAGGATTACAAAAATGTCTTCTGGCAAACAGCGGGGGAGCGGCTCCCTGGCACCATCTTTTAATAGTTACCATCAGCCATGCAGCTGGCTCTGTGGTGGGGACTGACCTCCCTCCTCTGCCAGGTCTGCAGGGTGGGTCACTATCCTGTGCCCTCGCCTGCCTGCTGTGAGTGGTCTGGAGTGGGTGCTCCAGTGACTCACACTCTTGCTTAGCTAATTTAACGTTGAGATTTCTTACCGTAACAAAGGCATCTTGACTCAGAGCAGGGTATGACAAGCAGGATGAAATGAAGACAAGAATTGGAGGAAGGATGTTAGTACACAAACATCTAGACACCCATTCAAAGCCCACAGAAGCAATCAGGAATAACAAACTCAGAAGCATACCTGGATTAGACAATGATATAAATAGGTGACAGGGTTAGACAAGGGACATAAATTAGGGAGGCAAATTTGGTTCAGGTTCTGGCATCAAAGATTCACTTTCCTCTTAACAGACTCAGAAAATAACACTGAGTGAAGAGGAGTGGTGGATCAGGGATTCTTACAGAAAGCCAGAAATCAAAATTTGTAACAATGATGCCAAGTACTGAGTTGCCTCGGTTTGGTTGGCAAATGCTTTTGTGTGTGAACAGTTTGGTTTGAAAATGAAATGTTGGGCAAAATTTGTTCTTGCTTGTAAACTCTACATCAGGTGACAAACACAACCACTTTCCCACACAAACGCAAATGTGACCAATTTTTCCAAAATCGTGAAACATTAAGTTTGTGAACTGTGGCACCAGTTACTTAGCCAGTTACAAAAACACAGTGGCAAGTTACAATAACGTGCAAAAATTAAAGTGAAATCATACATAAAACCCAACACGCACATTTGTCATCTTTGGAAATTGTCAGGGTAATGATTCATTAATCTGAAAATTTATAAAAGAATCTAGCCTTTAGGGAGCATTTCCTATGTGAATGGCATTGAAAAGTGAAAATTACTCATTATAAGAGAATCACTCTTAATCAGTTCAGGTGAAATGACAGAAATAAAGATCTGCTTCTGTGATTCCCAGCACCGAGGACAGTCCAGGGCTACTAAAGCTGCCAGCTGCAAAGGTGGGGCGAAGGCGGTGGGCAGAGGCTGGTACCCCGCAGCACAGCAGAGCAGCTCTGGAAACACACTGTGGATGGATGCAATCCTGGGATGGCGGGCCAGAAACACACTCAGAGGGGAAAAACAGGCACACCGCCCACTTAAAGAAAAATGCAGCCTGGATTTGGTCACACCTGGGGGCCAAGAGAAGTTTACAATAAAAATAGAGAACAGAGGAGAATGTTAAAACGAAGACAGTGGGGTTACGCCTGCCTGGTAAGCACCAGGTCCCGAGTTCGAGTCCCCATACCAAAAATCAATAAAAAAAGAGGGTAGCTCCTGTTACCGCACGGCAACACCTGGAAGGTAAAGAAACCAAATCCAGAAAGTCAGATTCTACCCAGCACTTCGCAAATAAAAGGCTTAGAAACGCAAATATAACCCTAGACGTTGGCTTCTAACATGATTTACTGTTACAGAGGACTGTATCTTCTATGGCAAAGGCAGCGAAAATATAGTATAAGCCTGCATCATCTTATACCGCCAGAAAGTACTGAAGCTCTAAGAAACCGAAAGCTCAGAAGGGGCTCCTGTGAACAAAGCTGGAACAATCAACAGTAATCACAGGGGGGCGGGGCCGGGAAGGGGCGGGGCCGGGGAGGGGGAGGGGCAGGGTCCAGTGACAACAGGTTTTCATTAGGTAAGAATTCCAGCAGGTGGAATTTTGAGTGTGGCTGGACTTAATTGGTGGTCTCCTAAACAATGCTGGGGGGAAAGTCAGACGGCACGAAGGGAGGTGGTGGCACAGCCTCGCCCAAATGGTCAGGGAGAGTGTGCTGTTGTTGTGTAACCCTGATAATCTACAAGAAGAAGGGCATTTTGCCTTTTGGCAACTCTTCCCCAAAACGTCCAATCACGAGAAAAACAGCAGACAAGCCCAAACTAGAGAGATCTCTACAAAAATGCCTCACCAATACTGCGGAGGAGGTGAAAGATTAAAGGTTAAGGGCAACTAAAGAAGCCTGATGCCTAAAAACAACGCTGGATCCTGAAATAGTAAAAGGGCATTAGTGGAACAAATTGTGAAACCCCAAAAGTGTGTATTTAGCCGTACAAAACGCGTTTAGTTTGGTGTGGTTATGTAACACGTTACCAAGATAGGCTGGAAATCATACGGAACAATTTTACAAGTCTTCTAAAGATTTAAAATTATTCCTGAACACAACGCAGTATTTTTCAAATGCAGAGAAAAAGTGTTACAGATTTTTAAAATACCGAAAGATAAAAAATCAAATGGAATGTGCAGACTTTGTTTAGGATCAAGATTGAAAAGAACTGTTTAACAATGTCTGTGACCCTCAGCCTGTTAGATAATAAGGAATTATTAGTTTTGTTGGGAATGATACTGGCAATGTTATGTTTTACAATTTGTCTGTTAGAAATAAAACACAGGACTCCCAGATGAGACAGTATGCTGTTTGGATTTTGCTCTTAAAAGGTGGAGAGAGGAGGCCAAGCCAGCCACACCGAAGCCGAGTGACCGCCACATGCGCAGAACAGATGCCACTGCCTCTCGGTATCTGAAATTTTTCACGAGAAAGCAAGCGAACAGAATAAAAACGAAAACACCATGTCGACAAATCTTACACACACACAGGCCTGATGCCGAGGCTGCCGTCTGAGCCATGCACCAGGAATAAAGACCTGGGAGACCCTGACAGATTTCTGGGTGGTTCTCTTTCTGCTTATTAGTGACTATTCACTGGTGGTGGGTTAGAAGGCAGTCATAATTAACTAGCTGTCGAAAGGGACACAGAATTCCATCAATCACTGGGCATTTATCAACAAAATCCCAGCGACAAGAAGAAAGCCTCGGGCTGGGGATAGGGGGCGCTCGGAGCCCGGGTCCCCGCAAGGCCCGCGGGCGGGCGGTACCTCGACTCCGGCGGCGGCCAGCACCCAGCGGACGGACTCCATGCGGCCTCTGCCGTTGGGGTAGTGCAGCCGGGGCCTCGCTGCCATGGCGCTCGCGCTTCTGCAAGACACGCGCGGGGTCCTCAGCCGGGGGGTGCCGCAGGCTAGGCTGGGCCTGGGCACGGGGCACGGATGGCTGGTTTCCTTCGCTCGGCTCAAAAAACCAGCCGTCGTTTTAAAATGTTGGAGAAAGGACCGAAACCGTGCCTCGGCCTCCCTACTGCTGCTGCTCGGGGTTCCCTGGGCTGGGTGTTGGAAAGCCGGGCCCTTGCAGCGAGGCCCTCGGCGCCTCCGCGCGGGGCTCAGGCCCTGCAGAGCAGTCGCGCCCGGACCCTGACCCTCTCCAGCTTTCCGAGCTCCCCCGGGACCGGAGCAGGCTCAGCTCACCCCTGCACCCAGGATGCGCTCGGATCGACCCCGTTAGACGCAGCCCGGACCCACGCCCACGCCCCGCCTCGGCGCCGAGCCTACCTGCACCCGGCAGGCCTGCAGACTGCACTGGCGTCGGCGCGGGGGCGGAGGATCGGGCTGGCGGGTGGCTCGGGCATCACCAATGGTGACCGCGGCGCTTAGCATGCCCCACCCAGCTGCAAGGCATTCTGGATAGTGCAAGATCGGTCCCGATTTCACTTCTTTGAGCTTGAATTTCAGCATGTTAGAGGCTCTAACTATCTTTGGGGTGATATGGTGAGTTGTTTTTAGTTGCGATATCTTGTTACAGCAGGATTAGATAACTCAACCTACATGTAAAGTTGCAATGAACTTTGGGTTTATATAGACTCCGCCCTCCCTGTAGTCTCGGATGTGAGGGCGATCTGGCTGCGACATCTGTCACCCCATTGATCGCCAGGGTTGATTCGGCTGATCTGGCTGGCTAGGCGGGTGTCCCCTTCCTCCCTCAACGATCCATGTGCGTCCCTCCCGAAGCTGCGCGCTCGGTCGAAGAGGACGACCACCCCCGATAGAGGAGGACCGTTCCTCGGTCAAGGGTATACGAGTAGCTGCGCTCCCCTGCTAGAACCTCCAAACAAGCTCTCAAGGTCCATTTGTAGGAGAACGTAGGGTAGTCAAGCTTCCAAGACTCCAGACACATCCAAATGAGGCGCTGCACGTGGCAGTTTGCCTTTCTTTTAACACGTACTCCACCCTTAGTTTAGTTTAGTTCCAAAACAACGAACGTGCCTGGTAAATAAAGCTTTCCCGAACAATTTTAATGCATGCACTTCGATATGCCTTGTGGCTCAGCCTTCAGGTAAAGGTCCCCGGGGTCACTGAGGAGTCTGCTCAGGAGCGATGGCACAAATAACACGGGCAGGCGTTTCTGGGTGGCTCTGGCAGTGTGGAAACGGATTTAGTGCCAATATAGACAGACACCTATCAAGTACGAGGGCTGCAGGGAATGCAGTCATTATGTCCTGCAAACGTGCATCCCCACGAGGTCTCCCCATGAGGACTGGGGTGCAGCTTCGTGTGTGAGGCCCTGGGTTCCATCTCAAGAGCCCTAACAAACACCCTCTTAAGCATTCACATGCAGAAAGGAGGTGGAGTTTGAGGATGGGTTTAAAAAGGGCAAAATACTGAGGTAGACAGTAAAGGTTTAACAATGAGCTTGCAGAGACAAAGTCTAGGATGAAACTCCCCTCCCCGCCCACGCACGGTTTCCTCCACCGCCTTCCCATCCGTGTTTCACAACGCTCGCCGTCATCTGACGTGTTTTTATGTTTGTAGTTTCATTAAGATGTAAATTCCATGAGGTTGTGGAGTTTTGTCTTGTATTTGCCTCCTTTGCACAGTGTAAGTGTTCAGAGAATATTAACGATGACAAAACAAACAGCGTGGCAGGGAAGGGTCAGCTCCGTCCTGCCGCGCAGCCGAGGGTGCGCTCCCAAATCCCAGGAGCCTCACAGCGAGCATTCACCAGTGTCAGTGTCACAGTTCCAAAGGAACCAACTCAAGAAAGAAAGAAAGAAAAGAAAAGAAAAGAAACTCAAATTTTTCTTAAATTGTAACTTTATTTGGAACAGGAGAATTTTCCTTACATAAAGTTGACATTATTAAACACGAAGGACAAACTATTTAAAAAGCGACATTTTACTTTGGAAGGTTCTTCCTGTAGTGGTTTTCTGTCAGCCTATCTCTTTCATCATTAAGAAAATTTGCTTTATAAATAAATACAGTCTCAGTTACTCTGTTGTAAGGAAATCAACTGCCTAGACTACTATCTGCCCTGGCTATCTTCCATTAGAAGACTGCCAGGTCTTTTTAAATTCACATCAGATGAGTGTGTTTAAGAAATTGCTAATACCGATTACTGTGATGCTTGTCCCGTTTTTCTTTTAATGATTTCCGTAAGATGGCCCTCGTAATTATAGAAATGCACAGTACATTTGGTTGGAAATTGTAAAACTTAATCACATATATTAAACAAGTTGCTATGGTATGCTTAAATGACATAAGACAATTAGTATGTCAAAAATTTTCTCATAAACATATTGCTTTTGGTCATACACTGAGCTAAAACAAAGCCTGCATTGCTTTTCTTCTCTCCTAAATGGCACAAGACAATGGCTTAGCGGTAGGAAACGCTATTTCACAAGACAAATGGTACCCATTCACTCCACCAGGGCCCACATCCGCACTCAAGAAGACATTTTACTTCCTCAGACAAGTGTTTCCCGATTATACTCAATTGTTTGTAAGCCCACAAGAGGGTGTCACAGTGTCACTTTTTAAAAATAAGTGATGTGTCTCCAAAGTTGTTTGAAGGTTACTTTTCTACCTACTTGAATCTTGCAGTGCTCAAACTGGGTGAGGGTTGGTAATTGATGTAATTAGTCAATAGAATTGATTACCAAAGGTGACCAATCATACCCTAAAAGGTTTACTGGAAATGTAGCTTCATGGAAGTGCTTGCTGGCTGTGTGTCGAGGCACAGCAGTACCCCTCAGGGCACCGCCGAGCTTCCGGGTTGAAAATGAGGGCCACCCGCACCACTTCTGGCACCCCAGGAAACCTTCCCACAGCAATGAGGTATAGACCCGGAGAGATGCAGGCACATGTGTCACTCCTGCTCGTGTCTTGCACTTCGTTTTATAATTCGAAGGTAATTAAAATATATATGTAACTGATAAAATTTTACATTCACTTAAAAAATGGTCACTATTTCCTTCTGTACTACATAGCTTGTGTCCACAATTTGTCTTTTACCTATTTTCGGGGAAACATAAAGATTACTTATAGAATTTAGTAGTTCTTTGGAATCAGATTGTTTCCTGCCTTCCAGTTTTCTCAAGTGCACACCGTGTGAACAGATGTGCTGGAAAGCTGTTTGCTGGTAAACAAACAAAAGGAAAGGAAGAATGTAGTGTTCCCTGAATGTAGGCTCTGCGACAGTTTTAGGAAAACAATTTTAAGATGTGTAATCATAAAGTAACTAGGTTTTTTGATATAAAAAAAGCCAAGACCTAGGTACAGACTAGAGTGCAGAGTATGGTATTGCCAACCCATCTGCATCTCTAAAGGATATTTACAATCTAAAACCCGCTTTCCAGAAAGCTAGGCAAAGTTTCAGCTTAGTTTACTTTTTATATATAATATAGACAGAGAAAATAAATATTAACCTCACAGTAAAGGACTCATCTCTGAAAACACATAGTCTGTTGCTTTAGATAACAAATTAAGACAATACAGAACGAATTCACTTCAGTTGTGCTTACACATATAGTTTGGGAAGCTTTGCGGCCAGCTTGTTAACAGGAAAGTGTTACCGTCACATCCACATTGCTTCTGAGCTTTTCTCATGCCCCTCAGGACCGTAGTGGCTGCTCAAATATGCATTACTCCCTGATTTTAGGTAGGAGCCCTTTGGAAGTCATGGTAACTTGCTCAGGCTGCAACATATTCATACATTAAGACGATCGTCTGCCAACCTGCTAGGCTGAAACATGGAAGTGTCTCTATTCACCTGCACCTACCATTTTAACTGTCAAATCTGATTACTTCATGTGACTTGCCTTGCTGCATCCTGGAACCTGGAAACCAAAGGAGTTGTCAGGGCCCTGGGATATGAGTCAGAACACTGTTAAGATCACGACTGCATTCGCTTCTGCCTGGAAGGGAACCGTGACACAGGCAGGTATGTCTTGCAGCGAGGGACACGAGTGAACCTTCTCTCCTTTCTCTGTTTCCAAACTAGCTTTGTCATCTGTAAAAGTGCTGTAAACATTCCTCTCAACGGAACAGCCTCTGCCAACAAATAGAGTTCTCGCTCTTGAAAGAAACTTTGAGTTCAAATGTGGCACACTGTGGACATGAATGCGTGGCAACCGTGACTTCCTGGGTAAGTGGGTCCCCTGCCCTACGTGTTTTCTGCTCCCCAAAACATCCTGAGAATTTATATAGGACATAAGATTATTCTGGAGCTGCTGCTAGCCAGGTCTGGTGAACTAAGCTGAGCACAAAATTCCATGTCGGTTATTAGAATAAAAAAATGTTCTCCTGCTTTGAAACTTTCACTGGGTTATGCAAGAGCATAAATTTAACTGACTGTGTTAACCTTTATGTTGAAATCTTTTGATGTAAAAACTTTCCTTTTGTGAGTATTTAGACAATTGGACTTCAAAAACGAAAGAAAACAGAATGAGTCAGCTTAGTAGATTAAAGTTGGTTTTCACTTAGATATCTGCAGCCACATTCAAGGGTCCGGTGAATCTTGTAAAACATTTATAGTGTTCTTTGTTCCAGGAAACAAAAATAAAACAAAGTGGATGATACAACAGTATTTTTAGAATAGCACAGTGGGTATCAAAAAAGTGACACAATACTAGGAGAAGCAAAGGGCTCCTTTCTTAAAGTCTGTCCAAGAAAGCCTAAGCACCTACCGAGCCACATTAACAATGTAACCACACAGTGATATTTGCACGTACCCCTTTGTCTCGTAGCCTTAAATTTCATCCTTGTTGCAATACTGTATCAATATTATTACATTTTGCAAAATCTGTATAAAATATTATCTGGAACTCCAAAGGAAAAATCACTTAATCTTTAAAAAGTTCGTTACAAAGTTGACAGTATAAAACGCTAAAACATAATCCATATATACAAAATGCTGTTGTTTAAGAAAATAATGAGACCTAGTTTTAGAATAAAATAATTTTATACCAAAAGAGGGCATTGCATTCAAATCAATATTTAAAAAAACCTTAAAAAAGAATATTGAAATGTCTCAGCCCAGGAGAATAACCATAAAGCTCTGGTTTGCTTCTACATCATCCACATGTTTTTTGCAGGTCAACACCAGTCAGCCGAGGGACAGTATCCTGCTGTCCGCCATGAAAGACCCTTGTTGCTGGGATAGTCACCGCCGAGACGGGTACTTGGAAGCCCAGTCTGTCCGGCCGTGCACTGGCTGGGCGGCTGGAGGCCGGGGTTTCAAGCCAGGGGTGCTTCTTGGCTGAGTGTGGAAGAAAGGTCGCCCAGGAAGGGGTCTCACGGCCTTCAGGGAAGAATAGCCTGCAACAGAAGAGACAGGGTGGCCTGATTGACAGGGGACCTAAGCAAGCCAGGCATAGGTAAATGAATCGTGGTGACAAAAACATCTTACCCCCTTCTTCTTATCCTTTCCTACTTAGTGCCTGTATCAACCAACCACCACTCTCACCCCAGCTAGAATCCTACTTGCAACCTGTTCCCACATGGTCTAACAACAACGAGCAGGTTGGATGAGCCTGTGGCTGACAGGTCAAGGTTCTCCTCTGCCTCAATCCTTTCAGCAGCTCCTGTCAGAGTCAGCCGAGAAGCCTGCATACAGGGGCCTCAGACACAACCCCAGGTCTCTCGCCACTCCACCTCCTCTTGTAACTCCTGTCTCACTCGAGCCCCTCCTGCATGCTAACCCCCTTGCCATTTCTTAGCGCCGTGAGGCCTGCCTGCCCCGGAGCCTGTGCGCTGCAGAAGCCACATCTAGAACAGTCTCCCCCACACCAACTGCACGATCACTTGCCCCCTTCAGAGCTCTCCTCAATGACTCCTTTGCAGTGAGCTATTCTTTGGCTTTTCTGGCTAAAATCACAATCTGTAGCTCACACTCCAACCCCCACAAGTGCTACCTTCCTCCTGGTTTATTTTTTTCTTAACACTTATGAGCATCTGACGCTGCTTTAACTCCATCATCATCTGTACAGAGCAAGCTTTCCCAGGGAAGTGTTCTGTCTGTCTTGTGCACTGACAGATTCTGGGTAGATGCCTGAAGAGAGCAACTGTTTGGTGTGAGGTGTCTAGCTGCCCCCCTAAAGTCTCTTCCAGCACAGGTGGGGCTTTTTCAGAGGTAGCTGGATCTAGAGTGTGTGACACTGGGATTGATTTACAGTGCAGGATCAAGGGCACTAGGATAGAGGGTATGAATGCTACCTGCCCTAAGTAGCTCCAATAAAATGAAAGGGATAGAAAGAACTGTGGTTCCCCTTGTAGGTTTTGCTGTCTTCTGTTTGCCACAAACTGTTTCTTTGCAGTTCCTTTCTGCCAAGTCACTCTGCCTTTGAGCCTGCTAATTCTGGACTGAAACCTCTACAAACTGTGAGCCAAATAAACCTTTCCTCCCTGAACTCTGGGTGTCGAGTATGTTGTCTCAGCAGTGAAAAAACTAAGACCTTCAGGAACTGCTGAATCAAATTCAAGAATAATTAGACACAGAACTTACCAGGGGGAGGGTCTGGAATAGGTGCCAAGTGTACCCTCGGCAGAGCAGAACCAATTTCTTTTTTCAGAAAGGAAGGGATGTAATTGCCAGTCAGTCCACTAGAACTTGTAGAGCTGGAACCAACTGCTTCGAAAAAACAAAAGCTCGTGTTACACAGAAACACTCACGTGACACAAAGCGGGAGACAGGAGGGTAGCGCGGACCAATAAAGAATTAAGTTTTCACATTTAGGGAAAATAAACGAAGTACGATGGAAGCAGTGCATCTTGAGTAAAGCATCCCCTGCCACTCCGCCAGAAGCGGGGGAGGGCAAAGACGGCTGCCAAGCAGAGGGCTGCTTGTTAAATTACAGAAAGGATATCTGACATTTTGGTTTCTGTAACAGTAAGTTTAGCCTGTTCTGATGCTTTTTCTGCTTCATAACACAGAATATATTTTACATCAGCATATACAAACACTGAAGTATGACTAAACATGATCCCTTTAGCCGTCCTCTTATTGGTCAACACACAGATCACCTTAATTATTTAGGTATTCTAAGTATACACTAAATATTCTTGCTGCTAATCAGAAAAATGAACAGTTAGTAAAAATACTAAATACATATACTGTTTGCATCATTTTCAGCTGCGAGTGTGCTAAGAGCAGGAACTCTAAGGTACCCATTTGGGGTCCTGGGAGGCCGGTGGTGTTACAGCAGACAGCACGGAGCCCATCAGGACTGGGCAGGGCAGTAGGTATCTATAAGGCTTCTTAGTTGTTTTTTCCCTTGTTTTTAGAGACAGGTTCTTCTATGTAGTGTAGGCTGGCCTTGAACTCACTGGGTAACCCAGGCTGGCCTCAAACGCCCAGCAAACCTCCTGCCTCAGCCTCCTGAGTGCTGGGATCACAGGTGTGCACCAGCACACCTGGTAACGCTCCTTGTAAGGCTTAAAGCTATGCAAGGAATAATGAGGAATGGTTACACCTGGCCGCTCTACAAGAGAAGCTGCATCTGCAACAGTGGGCATCTGCTGTCTTCGGAGGGTCTGAGTGCGGCTGCGCAGTGAGAAGGGGGCTTAGCACTCCTGTGGGAGGAATCACGGTCGTTGGGGAACGCTGTCCAGCTTTGGTGAATAAAGAATCAGGGAGACAAAAAGTAGCACAAGGGGAAAAACGCAGAATCCACAAACATGGGGAAAGATAAGGAATTTCATTAGTAAAAAGACCTGCAGGTTTAAACCACAAGAAGCTGCCACCGTGCAGCCATCAGGTTAGCACAGGGTTAGTCTCGACATGACTGAGTGGCATCGGATGGCATGCAGCTCCTACGGCCTGCCGGGCAGCCTCTGCCAACAGCTGTGAAGCTGAACAGGTGCTCACCCTTTTAAAAAAATTTTATTTTATTTTATTTTTTTCAGGTGGGCACCCTTTAACCGAAAACGCTTATTCACTGCAGAAACCCTTGCAAAGCAATAGGGACGCAGTAATGTGCACTTCAGTCCCCTGTCTGATAGCGGAAATTGTAAACAACTCACGTGACTGTCAAGAAGAGGAGGAAATAAATTATTATTATTATTTATTTATTTTGGTACTGAGGATTGAACTCGTGACCTTGCATGCGCCTGCCTCGCAAGCACTAAATCCCCCTAAATTATGATCTAGTATACATAATAAATTATGACATCATACAGTTGATATTATTAGATATATTGTGTTATATAATCTATGTGACATCCATAATCCCTACATACATACTTATTAAAATGAATGGTCATCCAGGAATAGGTTCATATAATTTTAAAACATGCCAAACCACACTATAATTTGATACACACTTTTAAAGAACCCATGAGAAGAGTAAACACCCAAACAGGACTGAGGCAGAGTGGGGGAGCCAGATCCTGAACTTCATGTATGTTTGCAGGTTTGACTTAAGCGAGGTGGTGGGAACATGGGTGTCCACGTACCATTTCTTGCTTTGTATTCCTTAAGATAAATGAGGTCTAACGGACAGGGGTGGGAAAGTAAAGGCCAGGCCCCCGCCTGACCTCTCGGAAGGGGATGCAGCCACGGCAGACAGATCTCCAGTGCCACACTGATCAGCCCAGAGGGCTGTTGATCAAACAGTGGGCTGGGCCTGCTCGTCTCCAAACAGGGGTCCTCAGGCCCAGGGCTAGGCTGGGTCATCATGCAGAGTCCCAGCTGGAGCAAAGAAGACAGAGCCAAGTCCATCTCCACCTCGGAAGGCGATGCCTGCAGCACCCTGGGACCTTGGTGGCCAACCCCGGACTCTCAGACCAGGAGGGGCACTCTGCAGTGGTTCTGGCAGGTTTGCCCAGGGCCTGTGGCCAGGCAGGGGAGGACAGGGTGTGTCATCACACCAGAAAGGCCCTGAACCCCTCGAGGTAGCCACAGAATTTGATTTTTGCCATTTTGGAGTTAATAATCATTACGTACCTGAATTTATTTTGCTGATTACTGATACTGTCCCAGAAGACTTTCCAGACAAGCCAGAACTGGACCATGAATTCGATGGAAGAAAGTCCTTCCCTGGATTTGGGAGCACGCCGTTTCTTATGTTTATTCCTAATAGAGAAAAAAAATGATTTAAAAATTCAAAATTAAACAGGAAAATGGATAGAAAAAAAATCTTGTACATAGACACACTGAGACATAATTCAGCCTTAAATGAAGGCCTTACAACTTGCCACACCTGAGGCTGAAGGGTGTGGTGCTAAATGAAATCATCAGACAGAGAAAAATGCTGCAGGATCTCATTTACTTGTGGAGTCAAAAAGGAAAAAAAATCAAATACACAGAGACTGGCAAGTGACAGACAGTTGTCAGGAGCAGCGGTGTGAGGGATGGGGGAGGGAGGCAATGACATAGATGACACAGATGAAGGATACAAAGTAGCCAATGTGCACAAAGGATGAATGCAATGGTCTACCGAGGACCACAGCAATAAAACTGTATCATACATGGAACCTGCTAAACGACAGTTTTGGGCTGCTCTTGTCATAAAATCAGAAAAAGGGGTAAAACTGCATGAACCAATGGTATGTTAATTTGCCACTGTAGTAAATTTTTACTATGTATATATAACCCATAAATTACACCCATTAATATAGGCAATAACGCTTGCTTAAAATGCAAAATACCCACTTAATCTTGTACTAGACTTCAGAGATGGAATTAACACACATTCCAGGTAGTTGAGAACTGCCTGTGGTTCCAAAATCAAAGCAAAACCAGTGATGGTACTACGCCACACACGGCAGATACCGCCCTTGGAGCTGGTGGGCACTCTGGCTTGGGCGCGGCCTGAGAGGCCCCTTGTGTGGCAGCCTTAGGGACACCTGCCAGCTTCAGGCTGAGAGTTGCTGCTCCTGGGCATTCTACTCCTCCCTGCCCACTTCCCTCTGTGCCTCGCCCAGGTCCTGTTCCACTCCGGCCCCATCTCCACCCCTTGGCTTGCAGCTCCTCTTTCTGACCCATTTTCTCACCTGACCATGCCTACTCTTGCTGTCCTGTGCAGAGGTCTGTGTCTGTATCAACCGCCCTCGCCACCTCCATGCCCTCCTATCCCAGGACTACCCTGCACTGCTGTGTGGACCTCAGCCTGGTCCAACACTACCTCCAGACAAACCACTTCCTTCAAATGCCCAAGTTCCCACTTGTCAGGACTGAGGCTGTTTTCCGAACCCGAAGCCCATATTCTCCTTCCATCTTTCTTCTTTCCCTACAGCCAAACAAAAACTCTGCAAATCTACGCCCTGCTCCTTCTTGTCTTTGGTCATGGTAGCTCCTACATCCCTGGACCCTTCTATTCCTGCCATCTGGTTTCCCTTTTTCCACGACATTCCTGAAGACATCAGGTCAGTCTTGGAGACCAAGTGCCAACCTGATGACACCTGACAGCAAATCCCAGTTTCTAACGAGCTGGTGAGGACTGACAATGTGAGAAGACCCGCTCTGCCCCTCCTCAGCTCGCTCCCCCAGCCTGTGAGGCCAATCCTCTGGGGGGCAAGCAGCCAGAGCTCTCTGCCCTCCAGCTCTAATACACACACAGATAAGTCAGCTACCCCTCCAGCGAAACCCTTCTGGAGCTCTCTCTGCTCATCCCACAGAATTCCAAAGCTCTTCCAAGGTCCCAAGGTGCCTGCTGCTGCAGCCTGCTGGCTCTTTGCTCGGACGCCCGGGCACGCGGTCTCCCTTGCCTGCTGTGCTCTCCCTCCAGCTCTGTGCACAACTGCTCTTCTCATGCTCTGGGGCCCAGCTCAGTGCCACTTGCTGAGCGGTCTCCTCACCAGTGATTACTGCTGGCCTGTGTCTCCTAGCACTAGAAGATCAACTGTGCTATGAGTGCTGTGTCTGCAGGGCTGCTACGGAGGCCGGAGGACAGAGGACCCTAGGGGTGAGCAGCTTGGGGCCCCCTGGCTGTCCTGATCACCATGATGCACACTGCAGAGGCTCCACACATGTTAACTGACCGAGCTGGCTTATGAGTGCATGCCTGGCCAACACTGTCAGCCTGGAATACAGAGAATCTGCAGAAAGGCTTGGCACCACTGAGCTATTGCACGGCATGGTGTGCAACCCTACAGGGTTCCTGCCTGGCCACTGCTCCTGGACCAGGTCTCGTGGTGAGGCTTCTCACAGGCTGCCTAGTTCTTGCCCTTGCTCCTTCCTCAGTCTGAACTGTTTTACACCATTTTTTTCAAACTAAGAGGACTTTATAAGCTAAGAAATGTATGGCCTGGGCTTCAGCAAATATTTCTGCATTCACAGTGAAGTAATCACATCATTGGCAGCCAATGGACCCACAGCTGGAAGGGCTGTGGCCAAGAGGGCTTCATGTCTGGGTCCGCAGCCCTAATGTGGGCTCTGAGATCAGTGACTATGAGACGGCACCTGGATGGAGAGTTGAGGGGTTTGGGGTGCACTGGACCACATGACACTGCCCAGTACCTGGCGGTTCTGAGTTGTGCCAAGGACACTGCCGATAGTGGTGGGGCTCATGCCCAGTGCATCTGCACCCACAGGAGCCTTGCACTACCCTTGCCGCCTTCTAGGTGACCCTGGCATGTGAGGTATATGGAAGCCACCAATGTCCAGTTCTGGCCCTGGCAGCCGTGCACCCGGGAACTTGGTGTAGGTGCAGATGCAGGTGGCTGCTGCCCCCTTGGTCCACTATGGCATGTTCCTGGGGGTCCCAGCTGACTACCTGGCACTTGGAGCCTTGCCCAAACTTGAAGCCAAGTCCCTTCAGCAAGCTCTGGGGTGCCTCACCCATAGTTTCACAGCTGTAGCTGGCTACTTGCCCAGTCTGCCCCACAGCTTGCGGGGCCTTGGGGTTGTGGCCTGCTGGTCCAGCCCGGCAGCTGCGGCCTTGTGTTATGTCCGCCTCCCTCACTGCAGCCTTTTCTCCAGCGGGCCTGCTCCTCCAGCTCCCGTCTGGAACTCCGTCTCGGAGTGAGCGTGAGCTCAGTGAGAGGCTGCTGGGAAGAAACCCACTGTGGGGCCAAGGCCAGAGGAGGCCTGAACTGTAGGATCAAAGGTTCAGGCAGCAGCTGGGGGGTCCCGAAGGTGTTAACTGGGTGCCTTCGCTACACACCCAAAGCCAGAAGTAGAACAAGCTTTCCGGAGTGCTGGGCCAATATCTGCAAAATGTGTGGGAGTTCTGATGTCTTCATTCTGCTTTCAAGTCAAAGTGAGGTAAATCAACTTTCACAGTAACTTCTGAAATTATACTTTTCCACTTTGAGGCAAAATGTTCTGCCATTTTCAATTTGTTAGAATCCTATTAAAAATAATCAAGAGCTAAGGAAAATTACCCCCAGTGAACAAAAGTTTATCCAACCAAGATCCTGGAGGTTTGAACACGGAGTAACCAGAGTGACCTTCATGAATGTGACCGATTTCACTTGTGCTGTGAATCTATCAGGAATCTCTTGGGAGAAAGGCAATTTAACATGAAGGAGACATTTTGGCAAGTATTTTAAAAGTCCCCTGGGCCTCAAGTATGATGAAAGGGCAACGAATGGCTGGCACCAGTAGTTTGATTCTGTGTATTTTAATTTTTTTTCCTTTTTCCTTTTTATCGGTACCGGGGATCGAACTCACGACTGCCTGCTTGCAAGGCAGGCGCTTATGCCGCTGAGCTAAATCCCCGGCCCCTGAGTATTTTAATTTCTTAAAGCTATGGTTTACTTGAGTTGCTTCTGTGTCCTGCTTCTGAATCTGTGGTTTTCATACCTGACTGAGCCATTCAGCACAGCAAGTGAATTCTGATGTAATTTCACGACTTTTTTCCCTGTGGATATTCAGAAGCAGCTCTTTTTAAGTGAAAGTTCTAAACAAGCAAAGGATAATGTATGCTTTAAAAACCATTTGAAAGGCAGGCATGGATTCCAATGTGAGTTCGAGGCCAGCCAAAGCAGCATAGCAAGTTCAAGGGCAGCCTGAAGTACATAGCGAGACCCTGTCTCAAAAAATCAAAAGAGAAACTTTTTGAGAGCAGACAGCTCAGCACTGGGGAGGCTGAAGCAGGAGAATGGCCACAACTTCCAGTCCAGCCTGGGCCACAAAGTGTGTTCAAGACCAGCCTGAACTGCAAAACCTGTCTCAAAAAACAAAACAAAAGGCAAGCAAGCAAGCAGGTAGTTTATCCTAAATAGCAAATGCTAGGGTTACTGTTCAGTGATCTCCGATGGGTGGCTTGACATCTCTGGACCGTTGTTCCTGCCTGAAAATTGTGCAGGCTCGTGGATAATGCCAGGATATCCCAGTGTATCTTGGCACAGTACAATCATACTGGCACTTTTTCTGTTGAAAGACTGTGGAATCTAAGTGCTAAACCAACTTTTTAATGTCGTATCATGGTACTATTCTGCTTTTGCACATCATGTGATACCCTGGTTGTATCGAATGTTTTTTGTGGCACGGGATAGTGTGGCCTCCTCACCCTTGAATGTATAGAGTGAGGTCTTTGAAATTACCAACAACCATTCCTGCAATGTTGTGATTTAAGCAGTGAAATAAACAGTCACATCTTTTAATCTTGCAAAAATAAAAATAAACAACTGGGGCAGGAGCCAGTATGGCCACCCCATTTCTGGACAGGAGTCATGTAGCAGGGCGCATCTTTTGGGGCTGGGAAGAAATGCAGATTTCGTGAGCAATAGGAAGTTCCGGAAGAGTCTTACCTGGGGGGTGAACTAATATTATCTTAACCTGTGCACTGAGCAAGCACAAGAACTAATCTGGAAATATCTGCCTTCCAAAACAGAACTTTTAGGACTTTGTGGCTCTAAGGGCTAAGAGCAGTGCCCAGCTGAAAGGCCAGTCGGTAACATTACCGGGCAGGTATCGCGAGTGCTGCAGGTAATGCTGCTTGGCTGCGGACCTCAGGGTGGGCGTGTCTCGCCGCGGGTACGAGGTCTGCGTGGGGGCGCTACTTCCGGTACCCACAGGTTCGGAGGGCTTCAGGTCCAAAATGCTCTCAAATCTGCACCAAGAGAACACGGCTGAAGTCACCATATCTTCAGAAAGGTCCTGGACCTCACACCCCGACCTGGCCGGTGAAGCGCACACTTGCCTGCAGAGAGCATCGTCACTCTGTCGCTTCTTGCTTTTCAGGTCGATCCTGCTGAGGGACGGACTGAAGTCCAAGTCATCCAGGTCGGTCCAGTCATCCGAATCCTTAGTGGACCTGGAAATAAGGCCCCACCTTCTCCTGCTCTTTGGCTTGATCTCACCGTTTTTGTGCTCCAGGCCAGCTAGGATTTTCTGGGTACACCAATAGAGAGAGGAAGAAGCAATGCATTAATGGAGCTCCGCACGAGGCATCCTCTTAGTAGGAGAAAGGAGCCTAGCGCACCCCATTCTCCAGGGTGTACCCCTCACGTGAAGAGGCAGCTGTGGAGACCCCATCCCCTGACCTCCTGCTCTCGCCCACCCTCGCTGGCATCGTGGAGTGTACCTGGCCATATAAGCCAGGACCTAAAAAAGATACGAGTCTTCTTACACACCCAAAGATGGCTGGTTCTCATCTGGGCCCCATCCCTGAAGGGTTAACATGATTTTCCACTGCTACGACAGAGATGGGAGCGAGGACAGACAGCCGGCCATCTGGTTCACTCACAGAGACCAAGGCGCACAACGCCATCTCTGCCTTCCCAGTAGAGCTGGACACAGTCTAACTGCGACAGCAGGACACTGCCCAGCACGGAAGTGTGGGTGGGCATGAAGCACACGGTCCGGGGAACAGCACCCACAATGTGCCGGCTGGGATCCCACAGTCAGTCAGCACCCGCCGACAGAAAGAGGCTTTTAAATTCTCTTTTTGTTTTTTGTTTTCTGCTGTACTAGGCATTACACCCAGTGCCTTGGCACGCAATGACATTCTAGCCTCGGGTCTTACTAAGTCACTGCATTGTCCAAGCTGGGCTTGAATATGTGACCCTCTTGCCTCAGCCTCCCAGAGTGCTAGGTGGCAGAGTCAGACCCTTCAGACAGCATCACAAAGCTGTAACAGCCATAATCTCTTGTCGGGTTATTTTTCTATTTAACCCAACACTCATCGTTTCCTTTTGAAAACCAGCCCAAGAATAGAAAGACCTGGCCTCACCCAATAGCCCAGGGTTAATGTGGATGCCCAGCAGCAATATGAACAGCAGCCTGTAACTATTAGTTACAGACGGGTTACCTTGTGGTTTTCAAAATAGCTTCGCCAGTGCTGCAATCTCTGATCCTCAAGAACAACCTGTCTGGGCAAGATGTGTATTGTGACCCTTTTACAGATGATGACAGTGTCAGCAGGGGTTAATGGACAGCGACTGACCATGAGTTCAGAATACGTGCCCCAGACTTTTCTAACCTCAAGGGCTGACTCACGCAGTCGCCCACATAATCACATCAGGGGATGCTAACACCCTTTATCCCCATCATACAGTCGAGGGAAGAAGAATGCAGAAGCCACAGACTGGCTCAGTCACTGAGCCACTGAAGGGCGGAGCTGAGGTTTGAGACAATGGCAATCTGGCCACAAAGCTCAGCTGTGACCCCTGCCCCACAGACAGACGGAACGAGAGCTTGAATTTAGACCTAACCCTAGCATCTTTCCACAGCACTCCAGCATTGCACAGACAAATGGATTCCATGTGGACCTTTTTACTGAAAAGGAAATATTCGACATAATATGTGTGGTCAGAAGATGCACGAGCCAGACCCAGAGCCTGCAGGTCAGTCTCCACACTCACCGGCTGAGGGTTCTTGTTGTGGAGGGACGGGAGAAGCAGTGGGCTTGGCTTGTCCTCCTGAACATGGCTCGGGTGATCTGTCCTGGAGGCCTCTGCTTTGTAGGGGTACAGGAGATGCTGAGGGGCCTGGCCGGCGTGATGCTGCCGGGAAGAAATTCGTGCATGTGGCTTGGCTGGGGGCTGGGCAGGAGGGACCGGCTTGATGTGTGGGGGTGGGCCCGTCTTTTCTGGGACATCCTTCTGTGGCTTTCCTGAGTCCTGCAGATTCTGGGCGGTGATGCCCAGCAGGTGTCCAATCTGGAAGTAGGGATACCTAAGAGCCTGGAACGACAAATGAGGGTGGGGCCGAAGTCAGCAAGGGAGTACGCCCGCCCCATCACTGAGCTCTCTGCGGACCAGTTATCACTAAGGACTTAACCCAAGCCAGCTACAAGACAGCATCCCGACTCAGCAACACCCTGTGACTTTCCTCACCTAGCACATTGTCACGTTCACACACTGGTTGCAACACTGAAAATTATTTGGGTAAAGCAGTCAGCTGCGTTGCTATTACTTTCCTTATTCTGAGAAGCCTGCTGGCCCAGCACAGACCCAGCTTTGTGACTCACTTGCTATGTGTCTTAAATATAGGTCACCCTTCTACGTCCACAGAGAGTAATATATAACAAAAATGCCAAACACAATGATACTGGAAGACACTGAAAAGCAAGAATGAAATAAGAGGGTATATATGTGTTCGTTCACCCCAGAAGTGTGACCAGTATATAATTAACACGCTACAGGTAAGCCTTCCCTACCATGATGAGGGTTAGTCCAGTTGTTTTGGATAATCAGGTTTTCTGGTGACGCAGAGATAAATCCTAAGGCTTACGGTTTATAGTTTTTTCTGGAACATTTTCTGTATTCCCATGTCTTTTTAGAGTCACTGAAAAATAACAGCTTAACTTATAACATTATAACTTAATGAGTTATACATAGGTCATGTTTGTAAGTATAGATACAGGGGTGAATAATGTGGGGTCCCAGACAGAGTCCTTGATTTCAGCATCTAACTTGCAAAGCTTTCTCTGCAGTCCCAGGAATTTGTGCAAGTCTAGAATGATACAATATTTTTAGATTTTCTGACACTATTTATAAAAACATTATTTGCTTGGTTGCCTGTTACAGAATCTTTTTGTTCTCACCTCTCATGTGCATCCTTTAAGGATTCATCAGAAATCTTCCTTTCTGCCCTGAAAGCATCAGCGAATTTCATTATCAGAAGTGCGTTTCTGAGAGTTTTCTAACTCTCTTGAGCCGGCTACAGCCTCATGGCAGATTCACTTCTTTGAATCTTTGAAAAAGGCTTTTCTGCATTTCTTCATTATTCCTCCAACTAGCATCTCTCCAGCTACTGTAAATTCTCCCTCACATTTGCACCTCGTTCATACGGTGCCTCCACTTTCAGTAGCCAAATAACCTTCCTTGATCAGAACTGGTCACTTATTTGATCCACTGACAATCATCCATGAGAGCCGGATACACCCAGTACAGAGGAGGCCTGCAGGAGGCTGGAGGGCTGGAAGAGCCCCGAGCACACTGTGCCTGTCTAGGTGCGTTTGGTAACCTCAGGCAGAGGGCCTGGGGCAGGAACTCGGTCAGAAGCCCCGCATCTGTAGCACTGTAGCTGGTTGCACTATCTGTACCAGCCACTGGGGCAAATCACTTAGCTCACTTACACTCTCTGGGCTTCTGCTTCTTACCTATAGAAATGAAGACAAAAATATCTGTCTCATGGGTTCTTCACCAGGTCAAAAGCCCATAAAACATAATAGAGCCATCCGTAAGATATAAAGTGCTATAAAATACAGTGGTTAGGCTGGCTCTCCTCCTGTCACTCCAGGTCATCCACACAACGAGCACGCTCAACCTGACAAGGTAAGAAGTCACCTTTCCACAACCAGTGCCAGCTTGTGATCCAACTGCTGTAAGACCACTGTTCTAACACAGACTACTACAGATTCACGTAATCTTCACTCATGGAGAATGCATTTAAAAACATTCTCCAAAGACAACTCTGTTAATTTTCATTTCTATATATATGATGATCTATCATACAAATTGTGTATTAATTTTTTTGGGGGGGGTTTTGAAGCGAAACCTTGAACTCATGGCAATCTTGCCTCAGCCTCCCGAGTGCCAGGATTACAGTGTGCACCACCACAACCAGCTGTATATTAACTTTTAAAAGCAACTACATTGTTTAACCTTAGCTACTTGAATGTTATACAATAAGTATCAAAGTTCTTTAACTTCTTTAAAGAAGGCAAGACATATTAGGGTAGCAATTTTGGATTTACCACTGGCTTGTTTTGAAATTGTTTGTTGCATTCATTGTTTTGTTTTTAATGTTTCTATTCTGTTCTGTTTGATTTTTACTATGTCCAAAGTTATCTGCAACTACTTTGAAGATAAAGGAGACATTATGGTCACTATTGTTGATTTTGTAGTCTTTTGAAGTCCTGCATCTCTTACACTGGTTTGTTTTGATTGGTTTTATCCTCTTAAAAAAAAGTTCTTTAACTTCTTGTCCCATATATATTTCCCATGTATTTTATAAAATTTATTCTGGTTAGATATGAACTTCCACAGAAATGAAGTAAAGGAAACTGGACAGAAACCTGGCTAGCTGTTGGCCGTTTCTTAGGGTCCCACTGGAGCATGTCTCTCAGGAGCTGAATGGCTTCGCTGCTAGCATTTGGAATCAGGGTCTTTAAATTATTGGGAATGCACTGGGGCCAGCGGAAGTTCATCGCACTTGAAAGTTGGTAGCCCTCCGGCCAGTCCGTCTGAAAGAAAAAAAGACAGCAGTCCTGCTAAACCTCTCGCTGGGCCTCTCACAGGCCTCCTGTGTGTCTCTGTGGAAAGGCAGCGCTGCACTCCCTCCCAGGGCTCACCCCAGCAGCAATGTATCCGCGGAGACGCGGGACTGTGTTCGTGAGGAGACCTCAGAGGGTGCGAAACAGGAAGCCAGCAGAAAAGATACCGGATGTGTCACCAACTTGTTTTATAAACCTCCTATCAGATGGTCTACCTCTTGCGATTTTAGGGTGAAAGCAAATTAGTATTTCCCCAACTGTGTTTGGGCAGATGTTTTAGAAACCATTAATGAGATATTTTTTGGAAGAAAACAAAATAAAACACTTGTTTCTGCTCAAATAAACTTCCAGACCTCTCTATATATCCTACTAGATCCCAACTTCATGATTCAAAATACACAGAAGAGCCAGCAGGAAAGCAAGCGGGCCCAGTCCCGAGCGCCCACTCTGCATCCACCGAGGCGGGCACTAACGGACCACACCGAGCAGGGGCTCCTGCAGGTCCTGCCAGTCCTAACACTGCTGCTGTGCAGGACACACCTGATATCACTGCCACCACTCCTTTTTCATAGTGAACTATAATCTCATATGAATTCTGCCCTTAAGGATAGCACTGCCCTCCAAAGAGAAAACAGGACATTTATTTTAAAATACAGTAATACAGGGTACAAAACAACAGTGGCCAGAAAAGAGGCAAAGACACAGATGTGCAGGGGACGGAGGGACGCCAGCGTTGGTGCTGGAAATCCTGACGAGATGGCAGTAATGATTCATTCAAAGATTTCAACCTTTTAAGGATCAGACTAACCGTGGTGCTGGAATGCGGGGAAATAAATACAAGATAAACCCTTGCCCAGAATTATTTTATTGTTTGAGAACAGCTATGCACATGGGTATTAATAACGCAACAAAGCTGAAGACAGCCTGGAGCCTGGAGAGACAGCAAGGGTGGGCACTGAGGCCATGGAAGCAGAGAATGATACCATATTCACTAAGGTGTGTAGGGCACAGAGATGGGATCCAGAGTACACAGCCCAGGGGAGGGCACAGGTACCAAGTGGACAGGAAGGAGTTGAGGGGCTGGCCAAAGGGCTGTCCGTGCGTATTTGAGGAGAGGGGCAGTAACCAATAACCAGAACTGTTTTCTGAAGATGAATCCGGGCACAGAGTGAAAGACAATCTGGGGGCTGGGGATTTAGCTCAGCAGCATAAGCACCTGCCTTGTAAGCAGGCAGTCGTGAGTTCGATCCCTGGTACCGATAAAAACGAAAAAGACAAAAAAAAAAAAAAAAAAAAAAAAAAAAAGAAAAGAAAAGAAAAAAAGACAATCTGGAGGTAAAGACGGAAAGGCAGTAAAATTGGGAAGCTACCCTAAGACCTGGGCAGGGTGGCCACTGTCCTGTCGTGATGTCTGCTGTGAACCTGAAAGGACCAGCCGCAGCAGAGATAGCACGGAGGGATACTGAACAGGATTTTCTGGCCAACTGCTTAGACAAAGGGAAGGAAAGAGACAAACTAGAAACAGCCCCAAAGCTCGGCGACTCTGAGGGAACCCCAGGCAGACTGGGGTTCAGGCAAAGGAAGCACGCTGCCTGGGAAGAGAAAAGTCATTTATAAAACTCCGTTTTAAATGAACAGGGTTTGAGGTGATGGTAAGGAAGTTGGGGTCAGGGAGGAATCCCCAGGAGCTGTGACATGGGGACTACATACGCCATCGTGGTGACTCTGAGTAGGTGGAAAGCATTGTATCTATGAGAACAGAGAAGCTCCACAAAGGAGGTGAGATAGGATAGAGCAAAAGCAGAAGGGGCCATGACAGAGGAGATGGGTAAGAGGGGAGCGAGGAAGAGAAGTGGCCACATCTGAGGATGTGGGCTGGGGAGGATGCCACGCTCCAGAAGATTCTAGAATGTGCAACTGCTCAGCAGCAGCATCAGTGCTACCCAGGGTGGGGAGAGCCAGCCTAGGAAGCCACTAGCTTAGATCACAGGGCTTTTTGTTCATACCTTTTTTGGTGTCCCCAACACTTGGCAAATTTTGAATATCGTGTCAATTTCACTGGCCCCAGGGAAGAGTGGTCTGAGGGTGTACACCTCCGCCATGATGCAGCCCACCGCCCAGACGTCGATGGGGGAGCTGTAGTTGGTGGACCGCAGGAGGACTTCCGGAGCCCTGTACCTGGAGGAATAAAGTTAGCTGCTGGCCATCACTTCCATTGGGCAGAAATTAGGTTAAATAACAAGCATTTCTGGCAAGAATTTATGTATCTGTTTTCTCTGTAGCTCACTGTGGTCCATAGACTTCAAAGGACTTGGCGACTGCCACGGCTGCTGCTAAAACACCAGTGTTCCTGAGCATTTCCCTACAGGATTCTTTTCTACAACTTTTTTTTTTTTTTTTTTTTTTTTTTTTTTTTTTGTCTTTTTCCTTTTTATCGGTACCGGGGATCGAACTCATGACTGCCTGTTTGCAAGGCAGGCACTTATGCCACTGAGCTAAATCCCCAGCCCCCAGGATTCTTTTCTATGGCATCTTTGAGACACATACACAGAGTGACAGTTTGAAAGAAAGCACAGAAAGGAACGGAAAGGGCATAAAACCTACGTGAGGGCCACTGCTTGATTCTGGCAAACTGTGTACATCAATCCCTAGCGTCTGAAGGTTTTAACAATAGTAACCAGGTAGTTTTGCATACAGAAGTTTGGAGAACCTTATATAACTCGTTTGGGGAAAATGTAATTGGGAAGATCTATATATAAAATCTTATACCTTGGAAACGCGGAATGGGTTTCCTTATAAATTATTTACCACATGAGTCTTTAACCACATCCTGTGCCCACACAGTTACAAAGGGCGTCTCAGACTGCACTCTTCCATCTCCTTCAAACTTTAATGCTGATGACTGGCACCACTTTTCTGAGATGGTACCTTACAAAGATGTGCGGTAAAATAATTTTGAGAAAAATCATACCCACCATCGGGTAGACACGTAGTCTGTGTAGGGAGGCCTTGATCGGATTTCTCGGGCCAACCCAAAGTCTGCGATTTTCACCAGCTCTGGTCCCATGCAGAGGAGGTTCTCGGGCTTCAGGTCCCGATGGAAGAAGCCTGCAGGGACAGTACAGGACAGGTCATGTTTGCTTCTGCGTGACTTCACTGTTGTCATCCTCTTTCCTCAGCAGCTGTACTGTTCCACAGAGCACCATGGCATGACACCATGCTGCCTCCATGTCACAAAAAGATGCAGTCTCTTGGCCTTCTCACACGACGCCAATCCGTGCCTTCACAGTATCATTCAAAGTCGACCTTAAAACTTGCTTTGTTTGTATTAACCTCAGAGAACATTTCTTTTACAATACCAAAACTCATAGGCTGTCAGGTCTGGGTTTTAAGTGTGCTCCAAAACCTCATGTGTGGCTGACGTGGCTGTGTCTACAGGCTGTGCCTTGGGGTTGGGCAACTGGATCAATAGACTGACCCCCTTATGGGTTGCTAACTTAAAAGGCTATTGGGAGGAAATAACTTCAGGAAGTGGGGCCTCATTGGGCTATGTCATTGGAGAAGTGCTTGTAATGGTTTAGATTTAAAATATTCTCCAGAACTATCACGTGTTCTGAGCTAGGAGATCTGGAAGGTGATTGAATCATGGGGTCCTCGTGGCTGGATTAACCACTGATGTGCTCATGGCTGAATGTACTGTTGGGAAGTGAGTCCCTGTCAGTGGGTTGTCACTGGGGCTGTGATGGGTATATTCTTAACTCTGGTTCACACTTTCTTCTATTTCCTAGCAGCCAAAGGTTGAGCAGTTTCTTCTGCCATGCCCTTCCTCATGCTGTTTCTGCCTTGGATCCAGGTCTCCTCCTTCATGTAGCAGTGTTGGGTATCTTGTTCTGGCAAGGGGGAAGTGACTGAGACAGAAAACCGGTACCAGGAGTAGGGTGGCTGCTGTGACTGTGCAGACCATGTGGTTTAGAAGCTCTTGGAATTGGTTTGTGGGAGGAGTTCAGGAAGATTTGGAGGTACAGACCGGAAAAGTCCTAGAGTGGTGTCAAGAGAGCTTGGTGAGTGATTTCATCAGGGCTCAGAGGACTAAAATGCTGACAGGAATGCAGACAGGAGAGGCCAGCCTCAGGGGGTTTCAGCTGGCAACACTGGCAGCTGGACTACAGGCCACGTGTGTTATACTCTGGCAGCAAGTTTGTCCACTTTTGCCCATGTGCTGAGTTTTTTCTAGAAACTAAGATTAAGTGTGGTGGACTAATTAATCTGGAGGAAATTTCCAGCCAGTTCGTTATTCAGGGTTTGGCTGAATACTGCAGGCTGATTTTGGCCAGATTTATATTGAAGGCCAGAAGAAACAGCCAGACCCCACTTGCTGCAGGTTCAAGGATGTAAATGGGTAAATTCCTTTGGAAGACTTTGAGAAGAGAACCCCAAGGTGCCCCGCTCATTCAGGGCCACTTAAAAAAGTATTTCCCCAAGTTTAGATACCCAGGACCTAAGAGGTTGCTGTACCTGCGGTTCAAGGGACTTTAAGCTACTGCATGAACTGGTAGTAGACTGTGGTATCATCCACATGGTGCTGATTTTTCAGGCATGCAAAATGCAGCAATTAGGTGGTCATGGAGGCTTCCACCCAGACTTTTGGAAGGCCTGAGAGGCCAGGCTGTGTGGTGCTGAGGGGGTGATGTGTGAAGCTGTGAAGCCAGGAGCCCAGGAAGTTGGAAATGCCAAGAAGATGGCATATCCATCAGGAAAGCCACAGGCAGTGCCCAGAGCCACCCCAAGAGGGAGCCACTGCGTGTCACAGGCAGGGCTGCTCCAACTATCTGGAGCTCGAGTCTTGTTATAACCTGTCCTAGGTATGAAACATGGAGGTAGGGGGAACACGGAGGTGGGGGATTTACTGTTTGCTCTGCTGGGTTTCAGTCTTGCTTTGGTCTGATTTCTGTCTGTCTTCCTCTTTCTCCCTTTTGGAATGAGAATGCTTACCTGTAACACTGTATATTGGCAGTGTTTTTATTTATTGGGACTCAGAGCTAAGAGTTTGCCTGGAGGCTCAAAGGAAATGTTGGACTTGCTTTTTCTGCAAAATTAAAAATATTAAAGATTCTGGCAACCCTTGGAGATGGACTAAATGACTTTTACATAAAGACATGGACCTGAGTCTTTTGGGGAACTGAAGCTGAATGTGAAGGTTTGGATCTACAATGTCCTTCAGAAGGCTCATGCATTTAGAGATGGGGCTTTGGAATGTGACTAGATTACGGGAACACTCTCTGATCAGTGGATTAATCCATCAGAGAGTTCAGAGTTCCACGTGCCTTCAAGAGGTGGAGTCTGGGTCACTGGGGGTGTGACCTGCTAGGGTGTATTTTGACCCTGGTCTCTTTCTGTCTCTGTCTATTTCTCTCTCTCTTTCTCTCTTTCTCTCTCTCTCTCTTTCTGGCTGCAGTGGGTTGAGCAGTTTTTATCCATCATGCCATTTCAGCTGACTATGAACCATAAGCCAAAATTAAGCTCTCCTCCTTCAACTTGTGGGTGTTGGGTATTTTGTTGCAGTTATGGGAAGGTGACTAACAGTGTCTCTGGTCTCTCTCTCTTTCTGCTTCCTGCCTGTCATAAATTAAGCAGCTTTCACCCTCCTACAGACCAAAAGCCATAGGACCATGTGACCATGGTTTGAAACCTCTGAAACCATGAATCAAAATAAATCTTCCCTCTCTTTTTTTTTTATTGAGATAAAATCTTGCTACGTACCCCAGGCTGGCCTTGATTTATTTCCAGCCTCAGCCTCCCTGGTGCTGGCATTACAGGGATATACCAACAACTTTCCACTTTTAATTTGATTTTTTCAGGTGTTTTGTCACTGCGTAGAAAGCAACATAAAGGCTGTAAAAACAGCCATTCAAGGGAAAAACATCGTTCTTATCCTGCCCAAAGTAGACCTTGAAGTCAAAGCTATCTGAAGACCTTGAGGTCAAAACTATCTGAAGACCTTGAGATCAAAGCCATTTGAAAAGTCAGTAGTCTTATGAATACTGAGCTTACACTAGAGAATACAACTGAAATACAACTCTAATTTTTATTCAAGCTACAAATGACGTAGGAATCAACTCATATCTGAGATTCTGGTGGGTATCCCCATACATGTAAATGTTAAGGACTTGGCATTTTGCCGATGAAAATGCACGGATGTCTATATGTACCTCACATTGTGAAAGGCAAGTAAGAAGCCTATCTCAGCTACAGCACTGCTTCAGGGGTGCCAGGAAGAGATGTTCATCATGGCGATCCTCCAGATGCACTCACACACCTGCTTCTGAAGACCCCAACCCGCTGGTGCTGACCACACCACCAACTCAGACATCATGCAGTGTGGCTCCTATTCTCAAGAGAATGCCAAAACTGGAAACAACGTAGATGATGCTGCTGATGGTGTGGTTACATGCCCTCATTATCCACTGTGAAAGCAGGATTCTAACTAGCACCTGGTGGGGGAGATTCGCAGCCACCACTGAAGCCCTAGTTCCTGACAACCTCTGTGCAACAGTGCTTGAGGATACAGCTCCAACATGCCTTCTCCGCCCTTCACCTCTAGTAAGACGATGACTGGATGTCACCTTATCTTCTATGCACTTGCCCAAAACCACTTTTCTCCTCTCCCAAACCGCCTCTACTTCTTCAGTTTTTGAGGACACTATCAGTAGATGTCGGCGCCACCTTCCCTTGAGAGTGGTGTTGTAAAGCCGTTACCAGAACATCTCCTGCTTATCTGTCACCTTCCACACTGACCCCCAGCCTTGCTCTAATGGCCTGAATGGGACTGCCCTCCTCACAGCTCACCTCATATCAGCTTCTCTGAGCTCCCCACACCTTGAAAACTTAATCTGTCCCTAGTCACCCTCCCATCCACACACACACAAAAACCTTTCACACAACCTTTAAAAACTGTTTAACAAGGCCAAACTCTTTTCATTCTACCTAAAGAGATAAATGTATCTTCCAACTTGTGTGGAACGTGTTCCCATCAAGCCAAATTTCTCATTCTGTTAAGTTCATAGCATCCATTTCCATGTTTGCTCCTTTCTGTCCACATCTTTCTGTCCCAATCTCTGCCAACCTTCAAGATTTGAGTTTTCCGCTTTTCATGGCACCATTCTGATATGATCGCTTTCTTCATTTATATATCTCACCAAAACATATTCAGAGGCCAAGCCAGGTGATGGGTTAGACCCTGTGGATTTAGGATTAACTCACATGGCCATGGTTCTTAGGTCTTGCCTTGATGGAAAATGAATCTTCTCCTCTGATCTTATGTAGAACTCTATCATTTTCAGGTGCATCAGTCATTTTGCAGTCATTAGATGGAAGCACTTTATACGTAAGGGTCACATTCGTAATTCTTCTGAATCCCAGTATAGTGGCAGGAGCGTGATTATCTCACTAACAGAGCCTTGATGACTAAAGGAAGGGTCGGCCAGGTTTTAGGGCACAAAAGGACACAATGGCAGTGAGTGCACCTGGACTACGTAGGCAGACGATATGGAGAACAGACCACAGCAGACGGCAACTGGTAACTAAGACAGCAGACAGCACTGCGTCTGAAGTAGTGCGCACTAAAGAGAAGGGGGTCTATTAAAGTAGTGAGGACTTGGAAGTGGATTCTGTGTGAGTCACAGCAAGACCGAACCCATAAATCACAGTTATTTTCCAAAGACCGTCTCTGCTCTAACAGGGCTCTGGGGTGTGGATCTACATGAAAATGCACTGTGTGGCATGGATCAAGGGAATGGCGCTTTCATCAAAGGACGCTGCTCTCCATTCATCATTCTGAAGACAGCAGAGTTCAGTACTAGGTCAAGTTCCAAATGGGTAGGATTTGTGATAATGGTGGACATGCAGGGCAGATGACTGGCACACATGGGTAAAGTGGACCTAATTACAGTCCAGAACCACGTGCACACACAAGAAGACCAGGGGAGGGGAAGGATTCCTTCCTGCTGTAGGCTGCCGGTGATCAAAGGAGTCTGACCTGGCCCTGACTAGAGACAGGCACAAGCACATGTATAACTGTATCGTTTGTATGCATACTGTGGAACACACAGTACTTCCATATACTAGTCCTTGAAATACCCAAATCAAATTAATAGTAAATCAAACTTAAATTATAATAAAAATGAACATGAGGTTGCCAGTTCAACAAATGCAGAGTATTTCAATCAGTCAAGATTGGCCTTTAAAACCAGGCATAGTGGCACACACTTAATTCCAGCATGTGGGAGGCTGAGGCAGGAGGATCACTGTGAGTCTGAGGTAAGCCTAGGCTACATGAGTTCAAGGCCACCCTGAACTGTATAGTAAGATCCCGTGTCAAAACAAAACAATAAGAAGAACTCAGGAGGCTAAGGCAGGAGGATTGCTACAAGTTTGAGGCCAGCCTGGGCTTCACAGCGAGGTCAAGACTAGTCTGTACTACGCAGTGAGACCCTGTCTCAAAAAGTTAAAAAGTACAATAAGAATAAGAATAGACTTTAAAATGAAAAAAAAAAAATCTGATATGGACTATTTTGGAGGGCCTAATCTCAGCCTAAATACATGAAGATTACCCACGCCCACTAGAGGGGGTAATGACTCTTCCAGGACCTCTTCTTCAGAGTGGCTCCAGCTCCCAGAGGCTGGCCTGTGTTCCTGTGCTGGAGGTGGCTAGAGATGGTCTGTGGTAGACAGATCTGACTGGAACACAGGGAAGAGACTAGAGAATGTTGCAGCGCTGTGTATTTATGTAACATATCTTCCTGCTGTCCAAGCTATCATTTCCGACAATATTGAATTTAAACCTACAATGTTGCTGTCAAAAGGTCACAGGGACAGTTATGCGCAGCAAGGCAAAGGACGGTCTCGAGGTCATGTGCAGCAAGACAGAGATGAGAACAAAAGTGGAGAACCGCTTCTGGGGCAAGCCACTGTCCCCAAATCACCAAATACATGCGTGTCACCTGGATAGGTGAGAGACCTGCATATCTGCAGGGAAGGTCACAGGTCCGGGATGAAACAGTCCGCCTCTAACTCCCACAGAGTGTGTCTGCTTGGTATCATTCTGTCAGTACCTAGTGGAGCCGCTGTTCATTCCCTGTGGGGGATCGCTCAGTGACAGGAGGCATGGCCATAGCAACCAGCAGCAGCCTTGCCCCTCCCTCTCAGAGGAGTCTGCTCCCCGGGGCCAGATGCACCTTCCTGCAGTCAGAGCAGAGCACACTGCCCGCAAACAGCATGAAACTCAATGCACCTCAGCCAAGTGCTTTAGAATTTCTTTATGTCACAAGAGAAGAAGAATAACATGGAGGTGTATTTGCTCTGAACCAAGTCAAATCAATACCATATAAAAATCATCATAGTTTCTAAATCATTTATCTGTAAAAATGAGATAAGCCCTTAAGAACTGAGTCCAATCTACTCACAATTACTATTATTTTCCTCATCTTGTATTCTCTTTTTCTCCTTGAGAACAGATTTTTCTAATCAAGTGTGGCACACAGGTACACTTTTTCTATTTTTTTTTTTTTTTTTTTGTCTTTTTCCTTTTTATCAGTACAAGGGATCAAACTCACGACTGCCTGCTTGCAAGGCAGGCGCTTTATGCCGCTGAGCTAAATCCCCAGCCCCACACTTTTTCTATTAATCTCCCCTCTACCGCAGTGGAGCAAATTTTTGAAACAGCCCTTTACTTCGGTTTTCTTTTAGGAATGGATACTGCTTGTTCTTTCAACCGGAGGAGCTGACAAGAAATAAGTAAGGTAACAGATGAGCATTGTGAAGCTCAAACTGGAACTGGCCCCTAATTGCCAGCCATTGCCACGGTCTCCCATTCAGAGGGGAAGCTGTGTCAAGGATCTCTGACAATGCCAACAGCAGTGAGGTGACACAAGCAGAGGCTGATCTTCTTCATAAGCTGGGGCTTCCTTAGCCCCATCTCCACACATTTATTAACACAGAAATGCAAGCATGCAAGACACACAAGGGAGACAGACAGTGCCGAGTCCCAAAGGGCTCTTTTGACACAAAGGCATTAAGGGCATCAAATTACAGACTGCACATATGTGTATGTATGTGTGTCCATTTGGCTTGTGTACATGTACAAGAAATGAATATATGTGTATGTACACAAACATATGGTGCAGATGTATGGTCTGTGTATATTTACACACACACACACACACACACACACACACACGATTAGGTAGAGCTCTGGACAAAGGTTACAAGTTCTTCCTGGCAACCAATGTGTGCGTCTCATGAAAAGTAGCAAAAAGGAAAAGAAGAGAAAACCAAAGAACACATTCCTTTTTTTAGGTCTACTCAGTTTCCAGCATTGAGCAAATAACCCCGATAACTACACCCTATGATTATTCCCTACCTGAAAATGTGCTGGCTGACTTAACTGTTTTGAAAATCATTTTGATTTCTCATTGTTTCTTTTTCTTGAGTTCTTTAGTCTAGTAAGTGAGCATCTTTGATTTCTTCGTCAGACATCACATCTGAAATTTCAGTGTTTCTGAAATTCATCCTCTCCCTGTGAATCTGTTTGAGCAAAGGCAGAAGCACTGGCACTGGCAACGCCAGGCTCTCTGAGATGATGCTCCTCCCGGAACTGTGTCTGACTTGACTGAGTCTTGCCTGTTACTCAGCGTGAGCCTGAGTACCAGCTTTTGCACAGAGAGCCCGTGTCTGTGTTTTACCTGACCTCTGACAGTCAGGCTACTTGGGGAGAAACAGCAAGCTGGTGTCAGTCCCAGAGTTACTGTGCCACCCTGGGCAACACAACACTTTTCTACTAGAGGCCAGTTTACATCCACTTGAGCTGACTGCACTGCCAGGGAGCTTCACCATGGTGTCCTCCTGAGTGGGAGGCATCTCGGGGACAGGCATTTGCAGTGGCAGCACCCTCAGCTGAGTGGGGACGTCTGCCTGAGCAGTGTCAGCCACTGTGCCCATCTGTCTGTGTGCTAACATGACCTCACACGACCTTGGAGGACCACTGGCATCACTCACAGATGTATCCATCTGGCCGCTCTGGGCTCACGGGAAATGATCAACCCCGTGCTATTCAGGGCTTTATCCGATAGTAACAAGCTGCAGAAGTTACTGGTGATTAGAACCTTGTATTCATTGCTTCGGACTTCTCAGAAGTTCAGCAGAGAAGAACGATCTGGATATTCGACGCTTCTCCACGGACTAGCCACATCACTTGTGCAGGGATTCGCACCACTCCCTAAGAGCATTTCCTCTGATCAGATGAATACCTGGCCCGTACTAATGGAGATGCCACCAGCTTCTTCACACTCTTCTGGTCTGTTTTTACCTCAGAGAAACCCTGTGTGTTTTTTGGTCATTATCCGTTGTACAACAAGCTCAGAGCTAAATCTGTAACCTGCTTCTTTCACCAAAATAAAACTTTCTGGTATATGAATCTTAAGAATTAACCTCATCCATACTCCATTTAGCTTTGGTCTCTTTTATTCTTCTAGTTTTTAATTTATCTTCTTGTACCAGGTAATTTTTGTTAGATCATTTTAAAACCCTTTGAAACAAACTGAAGTATAAATACTCTAAGAAAACGAGAAGCCACAGTTAGTAGATTAAATATAATACACACAACACCTCATGATTACCTTCATTTTTCTCATTAATACCACAGTTAATGGTCAGGAATAATGCTTATATCCATAACTAAAGCTTTATATTAACGGTTGAAGAGTACAAAACACATGAACATGATAAAGGAAGAAAATCAAATTCCAAAAGATAACATATTCCAAAATCCATCATCACCCTCTCAACTTTTCAGCCTTTCTTGGGAGTTAACTGCAAAAATCAATGCTTTGATGACAACAGTTCACTGTTACTCAAAAGCAAAATACTTCAAACCACCTACCGTGTTTGTGAATAAACGCCAGTCCTTGCAATATCTGATACATAATATTCCGAATAGCAGACTCTGGAAACAACTTATTTCTGCATAGGACAAAGGAAAACAAAGTTATGAACCTGGGTTCAAGTATTAAAAGGAATTCCCTGTCTTCATGTTCTTTTGATTACATTAATAGGAAATTAAGAAAACATGTTCTTATATTAATTTTTGTTGTCATTTTAATACTGGAGATGGACCCTCAGGACTTCACACACAGCAGGCAAGCATTTTGCCACTGAGCTACATTCTCAGCCCTCTCATACAAATTTTTGCTCAGATCTTTGATAATAAAATCCAAGAAAACAATCATTTGTCCATACAGGGAGCTAACTTTAAAATACCAAATATATTCAGTTATGGTACAAAGAAAATATTAAACATTTTATAATGAGAAAACAATCCCTCTAGCAGCATATAAAAATCTCTTTCTGTGACAGAAGCTAAAACTTTCTAAAACTTCAGTGGGGGATATCTGAAGCCTTCATGAGATGCAATGGGTGGATGTTAACATTCTTCCCTGGTAGGAAAAGCCCACAGCTTTATAATTGGTATTGACACTGAAGATAATAATTTTTCACTCAAACCATGCAAAGGGAGTCATAAAATTCTGGCATTCATTTTGCTACCAGAAAGTGAACTGAGAGTCTGCCATGGTTTGATCTCAAAGTTCAAAATTACTGTGGCTGGGAAGTTTCATATTGGCCTCTTCTTTCCAGTACTTGAGCACAGTAGCAGGAGAGAACTGAAATCAACGCAGAAATAAACCCAGAAATTTTCAACAGAGGCTTCAAAATAAATGCAGGCAGATCCACCCCTGACTTGTGGCTGTTCTGTCCATTTGTCCCCAAAGGGACAGTGACGAGCAGGTGAATCACTTTACAACAGGAAACCCATCACACAGAACGCAGGTCCCTGAGGCCATCCCACGTCTCCCATAGCAGGAGTACGGGCTGGGCCCTTTTTTGGCAGGCAGCTTCCAGCATTAAAGCCGGGTAGCATGAACGTTCAGTAATCAGAGAAAGAACTGGGAGACTGAAACTCAGAAAGCAGGAAGAAAACACATCTACTTTGTAATATTTATTTCTAAGAACCGGATGTCCAAAACATACCTTTCTTTAATGAGCTGGTAAAGATTTTCCTTCATGTACTCAAAGATAAAATAAAGATGATCATTTTCCCTGATAACTTCTTTTAATTTTACTACATTGGCATGGTTGAGCTTCTTTAAAGACTGAAAGATGAGGGGAAAAATATTAGAGAAAATCTCTTATTAAAAAAGGAAGGTTAATCCTACTTAATCTTAGGAAAAAATACTTTGGAAAAAAAATTTAAGACATGCCATAAGTTACATTTGCCATAAGTTACTGACACTTTTATATGGAGCATTTGTCTGAAACCAATAGTAACTTTACCTAAAACAGTTTTGAGGAGCTGATTAAAAGGTAAGCATCTCACCCATTACTGGTATTTCGGCTGCACCTAGGACTCAGCGAAGGGCCAGGGCTATTTTAGGCTTACCCTCTCCAGACTATGGAACTCATGCAGGCTGTGTAAGTGGCCGGCACAGAATAAAAGAAGCTGAGGCTTTGGATTTTCTAGTCCTGGAGGAAACGGCTGCTGTGGACTGAGAGCATGGGTGACCAGGGTGCAGATCCGTTAGCCAGGACATTACTAAACAGAGGCCGAGAACCTGCGTGTCGTGGCTTGATTCTGAGTCACCCGTGTGTGAGACACAGAACAGGCCTCACAGCGTGGATTGTAACCACTCTGCAGCTCCCTCCGAGTGTCATTCAGGCAAGCACATTTGCATCCCCAAACACTGCCCAGGCAGGTTAAACCAGTTCATGTTTGTTTGCACGAATTACACTTGTACATCTGTTTGTTTTACGTCAATTATTTTTTGCATACTTTTTTATACTTAAACCATTGTAATTGTCTTTGATATTTATTTCTAGGGAAACCTAATAATACGTTCCGGTTATTTTCTTTTACTAATTCTTGTTTACTTTATTTGTGAAAAACAACCTATAATTTTGTGCTACAATCTATAAAATCTTTCATTGTCAGTTAGTGAGATAGTATCTTTTATACTTCTCCAGAATTCAGTGATACTCTTTTACAAGATGGACACACTTGGGGCACCACACTGTGAGGCAGGAAGTGCCAAAAGAGCTGCAAAAGGAAAAAACTGAAAAAGGGAGAGATGTTACAGCAGCAGAGAGGAAAAGTACGTGTTACAGAATGAAGGACAAGAAAGGCATTGCCGGCAATTCAGCAATGACAGAATTCACAATACGGCAATGACAGAAATGCAAAAAGAAATTAAACACTTCCAATACTGGTCAATGATTATAGTAATTCTACAGGTGGTGTTGACAGAGTTGACCAACTAGCCAGCCGACAATCAAAAAGCAAGGAAAAATATTAACATAAAATTTTTATGCACCTTCTGGATCAAAGAATATGGAACACACCTGTCATTTATTCAAAACAAGGGAGGTTCAGAATATTTACAATTTAGATTAGGTTTAAAAGACCAAGTAGCTGAAAAATGAGGGATAATGAAATTCCAGTCAGGATGTCCATCCTGGATGTCTTCACCATGTTTAGTGGGCAAACATTTTATTGAAGTTATGCTACACACAAACACACATACACACACATACAGAGGAAAGGCCAGCACAATAGTGTAGAATATGTTGTTCAAAGAAAGTTAATAATACATAAAGAATTCGGAGAGACCAGATCCCACTATCCAGATTCTAATGTTGTGTTATGTATTGAATGTGTTAAGATACACCATAGACAGAAAGATTTTTGAATAAATGTGATCACTCTCACTTGTATATTTCCTGTTGTATTATAAAAATTAATGAAAAATGCCATGTTGATCATCATGTAAATAACTGGACTGGTGACTAGTTAATCATGGAGACAGGAGAGGAGACATCTTACTGGGAAGACCCTTCAGGAAGATGGGGAAAAACAAAGCCAGGCAGCAGATGAGGAGGAAAAGGTGGCTCACAAGGCAGCAGCCGGCCTTCTCTCGATGGTCCTCATGGCGCAGGTGAGCACCACAGACTGCAGTCATGTACACAGGCACTGCTTTCTCTCTGTACCCTTAGTCCTGTGTGTGCTAAGTGGAAACTGCTTCCGTGAGCAACAGTCCTGTTCCTGCAAAGCATCTTGAGGCGAAACTGTTGGTTGGCTTACTGGATAGTTAAGTCTAATAATAATCAATCGGAAAGCCCGCTTTGCTTTTGAATTTCATTAGACAGTTCATCCTTTTATAGAGGGAGTGAAATACTTAAAGATGGAAGTGTTACGACGGACATCCAGACCTGGAGAGACGCGGGGTAATAAAGTAGTCCAGGATCTGGCTTGGGAATGTGTCACATGATCAATCACATGCGGCAGCTGGGGAAGGAAACAGGAAGTGAGTTTGGTGAGGGAGGAGGGGATGGGACTCCTCCGGAGCCTCCTTCCTACAGCACAAGCTCCTGCCAAGATGCCTCTCTGGCAAGGATTCTTCATGGTTTTGCCAACTATTTAGGCCAGACCTTCCAGAATAATCCAAGGGCTGATTATTTCCTTGATTGGGCTGGATTCCTAGATCTCCATGAACAAAAAACATAAACATTGCTTAACCTGTGAGTGTTCACTGGGCTTTCCCAACTGCAGGCCCCTTTTCTGCCTGTTTTCTTAAAGCGATTCGCACACAGTGGCCAAGAATTCCTTGGAGGAGGAGCCTGAAGGTAAATTCTTTCTGAAGCAAAGAAGCCTATTTTCCAGCTTTCCTGGACGACAGTCCTGAACGTGGCCTGAGGTACCTTTGGCTCTTTGCTTGAAGTCTGTTTTGAAGGTAAATTCCTACTGCATGGCTCAGAGTGGCTCCGAGCTCCTGTTTCTGAGTGAGGCTGATGAGCAAGTTAAAGTCTGGACCAGTTTCATACAAAAAGATAAATTGTGCATCAAAGACTTCATGAGATTCTTTAGAGCTCTGCTTCCAGGAAGAGTCATCTCATTGGGCTCAGAAAAGGTTAGAACACGAGGGGTTGGGCTAGGTCACTTGTGTCAGAGACAAACCCCACTCTTGGTCCGTATGGAAGGAGGTTCCAGTTGGATATTATCAATTCTGTCTTTCTTAGGGACTGGTTGACCTTTTTTTATGTTTTTGGCTTGTTTGTTCCTTTGTTTGACAGCTGGTCTTGTTACACAGGGCAGGTTGGCCTCAACCTAAGATCCCCCTCCTGAGCCGCCACGGTGCTGTGATGATGGTCATGCACTACCTGGTCTGGCCAACCATTTCTTAACTATTACAGCTACAATGGAATTGGCCCTAAGAACACCCCAGGGCACGATACACAGCATCTACTTTAAAGAGGAAAACAACCTACTTGGGAAGACAGGACGTAAACTCAAAATGCATGAATTAAAAATGCACTTAATAAGGAAAACCATTTAAGTGTTAGAAAAATGACAGAAACAGGAAGCATCAGAGACATTCCAGGAAGGAGCAACCTGCCAGCACTGAGTGGTCAGCAAGAGCATCTCCTGGGGAACAGTGCTATCTAGAGCAGCTCAGTGGAGGGAAAGGGGACTTCAGCGGGGAAGCTGGCCTGGGAAAGGTTTGCAAAGGGAGTGCAGTGTGGAAGGGTAAGGACCACGCCAGCCTGGCTCAGACAGAGGCTCATCCAGGCTTTCTCAGGCTCTCTCGAGGGGCACACAAGGGCAGAGGGGAAGAGATGGAGAAGCGGCAGACACAGTGTGAGGGAAGGCAGGGTTTCTCCTCACTTCCTTCACTGTTCGGATTCGGCAGGACATGAGAAATGCAGGTCCTTTAGTAACCTCCCTTTCCAGTTCCCTTCCGCATCAGTAGGCAGAAAAGAAGAACCTTAGGGTCCTGTAGCTTTATGTTCTGTCATTCATTAAAGTACTGCATGTAAGAGTCATGCAAATAAAAGCCACGTCATCACTCAGAGTCTCCTTTACCGTTACTTTGCCCTGAATTCTATAATGTACATACTATAGACACTGCCTCCTCTATTGCCATGACCTGTTCATTTAACAACCCGATTGCAGGACCAGAACTCAGTCATTCAATGAGGAATATTTGAGAAAGAGTCTGCAGGTCCCTGTTCCGGCTCTGAAAGCCACTTCCACATCCGGGGGCCCCGTGGCAGGCTCTGATCTCCATATTCTACTAAGGGTCACCAACAGGGCTCGAGGGAACAAAGAGCAGGTGGAGCTCCACTCTAGGGCACAGGAAGAGAATCACACAGACAGAACCACAGTGGTCAGCGTATGCTGTTGGAGATGCGAATTAAAACAATGAAAAGAGGGACAGAAGAAAGAAAGGGAGCAGAGACCCAGCCAGAACACCTAATACAGCTGCAGCCTGGATACAGCTTCGCCCACTGAAACAGGCGCTGCTACTGTATCTAGAGAAAACCTACACCGAGAGCTATTCCTGTGTAGTAACAGGAACAATCGCCTTAGGAGGCAACAGTAATCCACCAAACAATTTATTTTATTGACATGCACTGATATAAAAAAATCCATTAATGATAAAAGTTTTCTAATAGCATATTCACTAATACAGTAACATTATAATCTTTTACTTTCATTAAATACTACCCACCTTTTTTAGCATCAGGGAAAAACTACAAGTGCAATGATTATATCTATGTAAATCCAATCACACATAAAGCTATGCTAATCAGTAAAACATAAATTATTTTCTGGTTTATCAATAAATACCTTAACCTCACGAAGGTTCATGCATTCCTCCCAGGAATAAAACTTCCTTTTCATTCTAAAAGAGAAGAAAGAAATGGCACATTTATTCCCAGTAGTAGACTAAACTTCATTTCCTTAATGTTTTCTTCCTGACCTAATCAATCCTGCTTGAATGTGACTGTAACTCCTACCAAATATTGTATCATTCAAAATAGCATTTATTTTAAAATGTGGCATTGCAATCAGGCCTGAACCACACAATTTCCCAGCAATGCTGGCATGGACTGCTATCTTTTTGGACCCACTAATGAGCCAATCTGCCCTGGAGGGAACTCTCTGAGGCTTGCTCTGCTAGACCAGAGCTGCCCTGGAGAACTTCTGTGATGTCTGGCATGCTAGCACTCCACATGTGGCTAGCAAGCAACACAGGAGTGGAGTTTTAGTCTTTCTCAGTGTAAATCTGGAGGCCATAGATGGTAACTCTCCACTCCTCTGAGTAGCATGCTCCGTGCCCCTACGGACCAGAGGTTAGCAGGCTCCACCCCACGGGCCCAATTCATGCTATCATCTGCTTCGCTACAGCCAGTGAGTTAGGGACGGTGTTTGTGTTTATAATCTGATGAAAACAAATCAAAAGATGAGTAGCATTTTGTCATATGAAATTATATGAAATCAAAGTTTCCATTTCTATAAATGAAATTTTATGGGGGCACAAGATACTTCTTCACGTACAGACCCCCTTCTGAAAGAGAAGGACAGGTGAAGAAACTAACGCACAGGAAAGGTGCACGACCGTCCCTCCGTCTCAAGTTGGTCTAACAGGCCACCTTCCACCTCTCCCTGACGCTTTGTCCTTGCCGCAGGGCTTCCTGGTTGAGCGACCCTTTATTCATGCTCCAAATACTACTCTTTTGCCCTCCTAGGGGTAGGTGCTTTGCCAGCTCTGGAGAGGCAGTGACAGGACAGTGATGGAGCATACATCAGAGCAGGGGTAGATAACAACTTTCTTCGGCTAACGCTACAAGGGAAAGATGCAGGGCGATGTCAGAATGGACCCGAGAGGGACCTACTCCAGTCGGTTTTGAAGGGAACACTCCTCAGTGAACATATATTCCAAACGTGCCCTGAAGGATGAGGGGCACTTAGCTTGGTCAGAGGCAGGAGGACCTGAGCTCAAGAAGCTAAAAGGCTGCAAGAGCAAAGCAAACAGGCAAAGATGTAGCGACGGGAGGTAAAGCTGAAGAAAACAAGCAGGGTCATATGATGCAGCGATTTGCAGGTCACATTAAAAGTGGGGGCTTAACCCTAAAACTAACAGGAGGACACCAAAAGCTGCCTTCGTTTGGACTCCCCCCACAGCAGAGGCAAGGACATGGGCAATGTGGATTTACTTGGGAAGTGATTCGGGGAAGCCTCGGCAAAGAGTAGAGAATCAGGAAATGAAGAAGTAGACAGTGCAGCACAGAGTGGAGGGCTCAGCTAGCACAAGGGGGGCAGCCGGGGCCTGGACCGTGGGGGCACTGAGGTCGGGTGGGACACGAACAGTTTCTGTCCATCAGATGGTGCATTTACAGTCATGGCCGCAGCATGGTAGAGCAGGGGGATGGCGGGAGCCAGGAGACCCACAGAGGACCTATGGGTCAGGCGGCAAAGGGTGACGAGAGCATGCGGAGAAGTAGGTGGATCTGATAAAGGCTCAGCAGCACTAAGGGACTGGACTACCAGAGGTGAGAGCGAGATCCAGTGACAAGATCTTGTCTTGCTTCCTCGGTTGTTTGCATGACAACCAAAAGAGATGCTAAGGAGACAGGTGGACAAGTGGCCAAGGATGGGTACAGCAGGAAGACCCTAAGGGGTGCCCGGACACGTCCCTTTCCTGGTATCCCGCTGTCTCTCTGGCTGTCTGTCTAAATCTCCTTGCTTCAAAGAATCACTTGCTTCTAACCAGTGACACACAGTAGGATGTCACTGTAGAGATTACAGTGGTACCTTGGTTCATGAGCTCCATGATTCTGATCAAACACAATGGTTAGGTTTAATGTTGACCCTACAGGGAGACTGGGTTCAGTTCTCATCCAATTTGGTTTACAACCACAATCATGGAAGGTGTTAAGTTCATGAACCAAGGTACCCTGTAGTTTATAAAAGCCAAAAAGCCACGGCTTGCATCTTAGAAGACTCTTCTCGTTTTCTTACTGTCCACATCTGGAAGCAAGTGGCCAGGTGACTAGCTGTTCTTTACAGAGGTTCACATAGCAGGACAGCAGGGGCAGCCAAAAGCCACCAGGAATCTGACCGTCCTTGTTACGACGACACGCAAGGTTCAAAACACTGCCTGCAATCAAGCGTGTGAGCTCAGCAGTGGACCTGCTCCCAGCCCAGCCCTCAATGAGACCCTGCACTGATCAACACTATGCCTGTACCCACAAGAGACTGTGAACCAGACAGCTCACCAAGCTGTGCTGACCACACAAACTGACAGGTGTTTGAAACCACCAAGTCTTGGAATAGACTCTTCACGGTAACACATAACTAATACCACGGCTTTGCAGACACAAAGATCCAGTATGCACAGGGAAGAAAGACACAAATCATCAGCCCACCTCAAGTGTGAGCAACTGGATTAAGTCACTTAAATTTGCAGAACCTCTGTTTCCTTTCCTGTGAAATGACAGTCATGAGCCTACTGATTGTTCCCGCACAGGATAAGAAAACATGGGAAAAGCACTTATGCTGTTTATAAAGTAGTAAGTCTAACACAGGCTCTTTTACCACCCCTAATATGAGTACTGCAGAACCCAGAACCCCAGGTCCTTCTCCACCCCTTCCATCCAGTCCCTTTAGGGACGTCTCCAAGACAGGACGGAGCGGATAGAGCAGAAACTACCTTGACAATGTACAGTTAAAAAATTCACCAGAACAGGGTAACACTTACTTTTTAATGGCAATCAGTTCCCCAGACTCAATGCTTCTTCCGAGCAGGACAGAACCGTAGGTCCCATCCCCAAGCTGCTTAATCGTTGTGTATCTATTCATGGTGGGCCTGCTCCGGCCAGATGTGCATCTCAGGGCTGAGGCAGTTCCGTCCTATGGGCCTCCCCAGAGTGTAACCAGATTTTTCGATGACAGCACCAGCACAAGGTATTCAACAGGATGTGACTATCTCCCCAATACATATTTTCAAAGATAAGTCTTCTGCCTGTAGGGAAAAATGGGAGGCAAGGAAAATGCTAATGTACTTTTTTTCTGGTACCAGCAACCAAACTCAGGACCTCGCGCTTGCTAGGCAGGCGCCTGTGCCGCTAAGCTATATCCCCGGCCCCTGTACATTTTTATAATCTAACTCAGGGGTCAGTGAACTCTAACCCACAGCCTGCCACCACCCTTACAAAGTCTTACTGGGCAGAGTCAGCCCACTCACCCGCACAGCACCTATGGCTACGACAGCAGAGTTGAGAGTCTGGGGTACCAGATACCCTGTGAAGTCTAAGGAACTTACTGTCAGCCCCTGATTGAAATAAGGCTCTTTTCTAATGTTTTATAAAACTAGAGATACTATGCTTAGAAAGTAACAAAATGAATCAGCTCCAACTCAGTACTTTTCTGCTGACTATTCTGGGCCAACGCTGTATAATTATGGCTGATCAAAACTGCTGAAGTATGACCATCTGTGCTAAATATACTGAGTTCCATAGACTTCAGCTACAGTAAACAGACAGAGTCACAAAATGTTAAGACTAAGTTCTTCTAGGTGTCCATGAACTCCTTCTAGCTAAGCATCAACAGTGTTACCTTTACTACAGACTTCAGGAGCTAGACCAAAAACTAGTTTTTCAAGGTACAGAATGTACCTCTTTTAGTACAGTGTGTGATTGATTTTTTTTTTTTTTTTTTTTTTTTGAGACAAGGTTCACTAAATAACATGGACCAGCCTTAAACTCTCTGAGTATCCTAGGCTGGCCGTGGACTTGAGATACTCCTGCCACACCCTCCCAAGTCCTGGGATTAAAGCTATGCAACCCCACACATAGTTATGTTTTATTTTAGTAATAAGTCACTGATTTTTTCATTTACATAATTGAGACAGTTATTCAGTCTCTCTGAAATAAACTGTACAATATAAGTGATTGTAATGTCTTCAGGCAAACGACAACATATAATGCTTAAATAAGAACAATAAAAGTGCACTTTAAAAAGTACAGTTTCCACACTAATGATCTAAAGACGCAAACAATGACTGCAAGAATGTGAAATTGTACCTCTAAAGCCAGCCTAGAGCTTCTAATCAATCAATGTAGAAGGAAAGAGGTAAATATAAGATTCACTATGAGGCTAAACTATCATAAAATTGGTTGCAAGTAAGGCTCACTGATGGATGCAAAAATAAAGAGAAATAAGATATTTGTACAGTCTTGAAGTATCTGTAAAATAGTATCAACTTCAAGGGGGAAGACGGTAACTTCAGAGGGAGAAAGCAGCAAGCCTCCTTGTCCAAGCCATCACTCTGATAGACATGACCTTTTACACCTGGAGGAGACAGGAGAAGGGTCCGCATTACTTCTGTGGTACTCTTGTCAGCAAAGCAAAGTATTCAAACCCAAAAGAGGAATGCAGTACTCTCCAATAAGTGGTCTGTACTTACCAGATGTATCAAGGTGATAAACAACAAAGATTAAGATCGGTTGGAGTGGGGGCATTAAGCAGACATGAGAACTGAAAGCCACCTGAAACCCTAGAGAAGACCCTCAGATGGCAAAGGCACCAGCGGAAAAGTCGACTCATTTGGGCAACGTCTGCCTGCATCTCAGTCAATACTGTTGCCCCAGTGCTAATTTCCTGGTTCTGATCATTAATGAAGATGTTAATGTCAGGGAAGGCTGGGGGTGAAGGTTTCCTGGCTTCTGTGTTGTGTGTGCAGATGTTCTAAGGCTAATTCAAAATTTAAAAATAAAAAAAATAAATCCAGAATGTTCTTATGAAGGCAGTTCGTGAGCTTGAGGAACCCTGAGAAATACAAAGACTGGGGCTGTTTTCAGCGCACTGCACCATGACTCAAACAGCTTCTAGAGATCACGCTCAGTCCTGCTTGTCTCCGGCTCATTCCTCTTTCCAAGAATCACTTGTAGGCCTCTGATTCGCGGGGCATTTTTCTGTGGCTGAAATTCCTCTGGACCAGAGTCCCCACAGCAGCCTCAGCATCTCTTTACGGTGATGTACACCACAGCTGATTCATGTTCACAAAGCACCTCCTGTGTGACAGACCCTGAGTTTGGGGATGCAGAGAGCAGTTAATTGTGCTTCCTTCTTTCAAAGCTGTTGGCATCTCACTGCAGAAAATGACTGGGCAGGGAGACAGGTACTCAAGAGTACAAATCAAGCTATTCCAAGTAGCCTTCGGTGCTGTGGGCTGGGCAAGGAGAAAGCCTGCTCTGCTTGCAGCTGGGCCAGTTCCATGTGGGGTCAGAAGGCGGCGAGAAAGGTCTTCAGAGAAGACCGAAATAGTAGGTGCTTTCGTGTGGCAGTGAGGGGTTCTAGAGCTCCCAAGAGCAGAAATGAAGAAGGCACAGAGGCTTAACGGACGTGGGGATTTGGAGCAGGAACAGATAATTCCAGAGCTTTGTTTCAGAGGACCTCAGATGCTGTTTTTAAAAACACAGGCTTTGTCCAAAATGCTTGATGGTCATCATGTGGTCAACGGAGGATCAAAGATTTAGCTCAGTGGCACAAGTGCCTGCCTGGCAAGTATGACATGGTGGGTTCAACCTCTAATACAAAAAAAGAAGAGGAAGTGTTGATGGTTACTGGAAATAACTGGATGTGGACGACAGATTAGAAGAATACTACATCTGTGTTAAATTATTTGAAGTTGATGCCTATGCTGTGGTTTAGTAAGAACATGATCATATTCTCAGAAAATACACCCTGTAGGATTTACAGGCAGAGGATCGTGAAATATGCAGTTTACAAGGCGCCTCAACTTCCGGTGCAGTTGTGTCCTTCATGGTAAGCTGAAAATATCCTGAGCTGAGAATGCATTTCACATACCACACCTATCCCCTCACCTAACCCAATATATTGTTTTACAGGGACAACAATGCATTGCAGAGTATTCATTTTTATCCTCTGATGGAGAGCCCCATTGGGATTTGGACTTGGACCTTGTTGTGGCTGCCTGGCATCAAGACAGTATGGCACCACATATTGCAAGGGTGGGACCAAAACTCAAATTCAAAACTCAAACTCAAAATACCATTTCTATTGAAAGCGTATAACTTTTGCATCACCACAGAGGTGAAAAACTGTAGTGGAACTATTGTAAAGTTATGGGTCATCTGTATGATGAGGTGCATTGAGCAAAAAGTGTGTGTGTGTGTGTGTGTGTGTGTGTGCACAACAGGCACAGAAGGTGAAGGAGCCGAGGTGGCAGAATGTTAACAGGGAAATCTGAGGAATTGCTAAACTGTGTTCCGAACTGTATCTCTCTCCCCTCAATTGTGTAGGCTGGCGCTTACAACTTCCAAAATGACTGTGTGGAGACTGAGCCAGTAAAGAGCTTCTCAGGTTCCACCAAGGCGTAAGGGGAGGGACCCAGAGATTAATGTCTTGTATGCCCTTGTCCTACCCTGTGCCTTACGCAGCCTACTTTAAAGCCATTTATTATCAAGGCAGAGCACAGATCCTGCTGCAAACGTCTCATACTGTACTTCCCCGTATCTGGAACCTACAGAAGAGGCGTACACTGTGTAAGACGCCCACTCTCTATCACCCTGCCGTGCTAACCAGAACAAACTAAGACAAGCATGTGAAAAGTTTTTGTATTACTCTTGCAACTTTCCTGAAAGTTTGAAATTACTGTAGATTACAAAATTTCTTTTCAAAATGGGAAAGGAATCTTTTAAAAGATATGCACATCTTATTAAACATTTTATTTTAGCTTAGGGCACACAGATTAGATTTGTTTAATGGTAACTTGCCCAGAAGACAGAAGACTAACATAACATGTTTCCTTCACTGGTGATCACCGTCTTGTTGATGATTTTGGATTCAAAAGAACAAACCCTCCAGAAAATCAGAAGAGATGGTCTCTACCTCAATCTGATGAAAGCCATCTATGACACCCCAACTGCAAACATCACACTAAATGGACAAAAACTGAGAGCTTTCCCTGTAAAATCAGGAACAAAACAAGGATGTCCACTGCCTCCACTCTTACTCAACACAGTCCTGGAAACATTAGTCAGAGCAATTAGACAAGACAGAGAAATAGGGCAATCTGCTCAGGACCCCTTCTGTCTCTCTCCAACAGGAGCTTTCTTTCTATCAATAAGTATATTTTTTTAAAAGACAGAAATAAAAGGAATAAAATTAGGAAAGGAAGAAGTTAAACTATCCTTATTTGTGCATGACACAATACTCTAGATAGAAGACCCCAAAAACTACCAAAAGATTTCTAGATTTAATAACCAAGTTCAGTAAGATACAAAGTCAACACTCAAAAATCAGTAACTTTCCGGTACACAAAAAACAAACTCACTGAGAAAGAAAGGAAACCACATCTTTCATAACAGCATAGAAACAGAATGAAATACTTAGGGATCAATCTAAAAGAGTAAGTAAAGATTTTTACACTGAAAACTACAGTACTCTGAAAAAGGTTATCAAAGAAAATTTTAGAAAAAGGAAAATCATCCTTTGCTCTTGGGTAGGAAGAATCAACATAGTAAAAATGGTCGTATTCCCAAAAGTGTCATACATATTTAAAGCAATCCTGATCAGAATACCAATAGCATACCTCAGAGAATTAGAGAATTTATTTGGAAGCAGATAGTAAAAAATAATTCTGGGCAATAAAGGCAAGTCAGGAGGCATCACAATCCCTGATTTTAAATCATACTAAAAAGCTACCGTAATAAAAACAGTATGGTGCTGGCAAAAAAATAGACCCAAGGAGCAATTGAACAGATTAGAAGATGCAGAAACAACTTCAAAGGCACTCAGCCACCTTATCTTTCATAAAGGTGCCCAACAACTTAACTAGAAGAAAGATTAGCCCTTTAATAAATGGCGCTGGGAAGCTGGCTTTTCACAGACAGAAAACTGAACTCGGAACCATATTTCTCACTGTATGCTAAACTAAAATTGAGATGGATGAAAGACATAAATATTAAAATAGGAA